CGCCGATGCCCCTGCGCCGTTGCGGGAGAGACGGCGCGGCGCGCGCGCCCGGGGCCCCGGGAGAGGGGGCGCTCCGCCCGCCCCTGCGCGACCCCCGCGCCGCCCGCCCGCATCAAGCCGCGGGGCCGAGGCTTCGCCGCAGCGGGAGCAGCCCGCGCTCGAGCCGCCGGAGCCTTCCCCGCACCCGCTTTTATCTGCTCATACCGCATAAAGCGATGGAGGCTGGCCCGCAGGGGGATACCCTGCACATGCTCAGAAATCCTCGTGTTCCACCTTATGCACCCTTCCCTGCTCTCCCCAGGGGGTGGGGGGGGCAGGGAGCTGGCAGTGATTAAGCCCAGGTCTTGGTGGCTCCATGCCTGCCAGAATGGGGGGGGGGTCCCATTCCCCCCACCTTTGGCTTGCTGTTTCTCCTTCCGGTTCGAGATTCCAGCCTAGGGCAATAGATGATTGATCGCAGCAATATCTGGCGCAGTTCTGTCCTGATTTTCCTCTAGAGAGCGCAAGGAGGCCGAAGCGATGCTTTCCCCCATTTTCCTGTCACAGCGGCCTTGCAGGGGAGGGGAGGGGAGGGGAGGGGAGGGTCCACGACCCCCCCCCCCAGAGAGGGAGTTATGGCAAAGTGGTGCCTTGAACTTTTTCTGCCCAGGTGCAGCTCTCTCGCCGCACTGGCCAAATCGATCGGGGCGTGTGTCTGTCTATATTATTTCCCCGCCCCATTTAATTTGGGGTTCATTTTGGAAAGGGTGGGGGCACCACGGGCCATTCCAAGCTCCCGCCGGCTGCATTTATGGTGGCTAGAAGAGAGCTCTCTGTGGCCTAAAATGGCATTTTAAAACAAACTCTCTCCCCTCCTCTTACCAGGTCCACGTGGGTGGGGATTACTGTGGGCCGAGATGCAAGGAAAGGCTTAGGTGTCAAGGCCGGTAGGTGTTCAAGGCAGGTTGGAAGCAGTTGTTTTGCTGGTTGAGGATGTGATGGAGGGTGACGAAAATACAGGGGTGGCATAAGGCAGTGTTCGTTTGGCTCCCCTCCCCTCCCGGCGCTTCCCCGGCTAACGGAACAGAATCCACAAGAATTTCTCCTACGCAAAAGCTCCAAGTGTCGTTCCCCGTGAGTGTATCGCAGGTTGCATCTGTTCGCCCGTTCTTGACCCTGTTATGCAGCCTTCCCCGACTTGGGGTTCCGGAGATGTACTGGACTACAACTTCCATCATCCCCAGAAGCTGCAGGAGACTGGGGAAGGCTGTTGCAGCAGTCCTTAAAGGGTCTCATACTGCTCAGAACAAAGGTGACTCTGCGGTCATTTCAGGAGTATTCCCATTTATCAGTCCTGTTAAAAAATTCCAACCCTATCGGAGCTTTGAAGGATATCTCCAAAGTGCATATTTCCGAAAATGCTTTGGCTTTTGGTGCTTTGACTGATGTGGCCCGCTTCATGCGAAGCTTCCATTCGCTTCTTAACAGACCTGTGTTTATGCACCCTTACTCTGAAGTAAGTCCCACTGTATTTACTTCGTGCCTAGGGCTTGTTTGGTAAAAATGCATCAAAAGACCTTTCAAAATCTGTGTGTGTGTGTGTGAAGGAGAGGGAGAGAATGAGAGCGTGGGCAAATTTATACCATTTTAAATCCAGTGTTTTGGGATTCGTCCTTTTGTCACCTGATGGCATGCTTTAAATGTTCCAGCTCTGCAAAAGGATGGAATGTATGGATTATATATTATTGCATACGAAAGAAAGAAGGGAGAACATTCCTGTATGTCAGAAAGAGGCAGCTTGTTTGTTTGGGTTTATTAAGAACCAGGGAGACCTGCAACAAAATGTTACCGCGTATCCATTTCCCGAAAGTGCTTTGCTTTGTTCCATGTTCCCAAAGTTTTGTATTTGTATCCATATTCCCAAAGTTCAGGCTTCTGGCAGCTTGGACCCAGAACCTGGCAGTCTTGTGACTGCCTCTCCACCTTTTTCTCACAGTGGCCACTTTGATGGTCTGGCGTTCCAAAAACTCACAGTAAACTTGAGAGCTTTTAAATGTTTGCTGCGTTTTCAGATTCAAATAATTCTGCATTTCGTGCAAGTAGATATGACTGTGTTGTTTTGAGGCTCAATGGGGGTAATTTAGCATGCAAAACAGACACCCAAGTGGCTTGTTAGAAGGAATGATTTAAAAAAGGGAGCAGAATTTACACATGCCCATGCAAAACGGGGTTTCCGAACAAGGTTAAGACCAAACCGAAAGCCATGGACGAGTCCTGCTGGACTAGGTTTCTGGGAGAACCGGGTTCTCATCGCCACTTGGGCTTCAAGTTTACTGGGTGACTTTGGACCAGTCCTGGACTCCCTGCTTAGCCAACCTCTCAGGGCTGTTGTGAAATAAAATGGAGGGTGAATTATGTCAGCCATCTTGAGCTTCTTGCAAGAGAATTCCAGTGCTTAATTATTCTATAGAAAATGTTCCATAAAGTTCATCAGTAACAGCGAATGGTTGCCAATTGCAAATACAATATTAGGGAATCTTGGCAGTTTTAAAAGTTGCCCACAGACACACGCCGTTCTTTGGGTTGCTCAGATGTACTGGTGTGTCAACAGTTTTCTGTCCTTTTTTTCCTTTAGTGCAAGCATTGGTCCTTAAATTGTCCTTGATGTTTTTAACCTGTATGCCCATTAAGCATCTCTATAATGTAGCATTTACACCTCAGTAAGTGAGTTTTGATTTCCTCGCTCAAATAGTTCAGGTCCTATACTTGTAGTGGGCTTGGAGGACTTTTCCTAATATAGAGATCTGGAAGAAAATGTTCTTAATTAAATTAAAGGGACTGTTCTAGACCAGGGACAGGAAACCTGTGTACCCGATCTGACCCTCTGGAGTGTCTCCAGGGATCTCGCTTCCACCCCCTGTGCTCAAACACCAGTCTTCCAGCTGTGGTGGTCTGGTGTCTTCCTGGATCTCGCATCCTTTTCTCTCCTCTCTGCAAGGTCGAAACTTTCCTACCGGGGCTCAGTAATTAGAAGCCGAATTGAGGGGTTGCGGCAAGGAGATGTAGAGAGATTCTGTTTGTCTTTCCATCCTCTGTGCAGGAAGGGGCAGAGCTGAGGGTGGAGGGTCCGCACTGTTTCTTGCCTCTCCCCTCTCCGTCCACTGGCATGCCCCCTTTTCGAGTTCCAGGACTCCTTTGGTCCCCACTTCCTGCAGGAATTATGGCTCTCTCATTATGGCTGCAGTTGGGAAGAGACAGGGCAGGGGCTGATCGGATACCTGAGTCCCCCTTCCCAGGTAATTGCAATACCTGTGGCTTTGGAGGGGGGATTCCGGTGAAATCTGTGGTTCTTGGACTCTCTCCCAGGACTATAGGATTGTGCTGTTAAGCTTTAGCATGCTAGTTGTTGTTGTTGTTGTTAATTGTCCTCCATGCCTGTAGCTTTGACCCTCCTGTCACTGGAATGCACCCCTGAAACCTTTTCAGAAATTGAAATTGGCCCTTGGCCTGAGAGCGGTTCCTCCACCTCTCCTGTAAAGGCATCAGAAACTGTTCTCACGCAAACTGCATTCTTCCTAATGCATCTTATCCTGTGCAAACAGGAGACCTTTCCGGGAAATGCCCCAATTTGACCCTGTCCAGAAAATCCACCTCACCTGTTGTCAGAGCTGTGAGCAGCATCCGGAACTCGGTCACCTGGCGGTAACCTCCCGTCCCGGAGAAAAAGAGGCGCGCTCTGGAGCAAGGGGTGATGTCACTCAGTATCTTGGCCTGGATGGTGGAAGCCACTGATCTTGCAAAAACGGTGGTGGAGGAGAGTGAGAAAAGGGAAAACGGAGGTGTCGCTGGATTGGGGGCATTCTTTTGCCAAGTCCGACTTCTTCAACCTTTGGTTCGGGAAGATAGCTTGCAAGGAAGCGTATGTCACGGTAGCGAGCAAACCAATCCAAAGCCGATAAACTGAGAGACATCGGGAAATACCCTTTGCACATATTCAAATTGCTTCTATCTTTGCTTCTGATGTCTTGATGCTCCGGTCAACAAGTGTTGCTCAAAATTAAACCCACACACGAAAATGTCAGTAGGAGTAATCTCAGTTCATATGTAGATTTTCCTCAGCAGCCCTTGGAAGCTCGTTGAAATGGCAATTTAAATGTGACATTTTAAATGGCAGAAGATGTCCAAATTGTGAGGCATGTGCAAACAGAATCATGACACCCAGTTTCAAGGCAGATGCATAACATGGGCAACAACAGGCGTGCTAACAGCAGCTTACAAAGTTACTAGTCCACAGTTTTTGGAGGTGATCCCGTCTGCCGTGGGGATTCTTGGAAGTCAGACAGTTTGGGGTTGGTCCTTTTTCTGCTTCTGAGAGAGATTTACACACAGCTGTGTTCTTGAGATGTGCCTACACCGGTTCAGTTGTAGGATGAGTTGGATTTACTTTCTCCAAGACAAAAAGAGCACGAGCTCCCCCTGTGAGAAGTCATTCTGCCAAATTTGGGGCATCCTGCCCCTCTCCCTGCACCGCGGATCTCCTGTGTAGCGTTTTGTGGAGGGGCTGCTGTGACGAAAGGGGTGGGAAAGGGGGTGCCAGCCATGTTCCACGGGGAGAGCCCTGCCTCTTTGTCACTGTGTGTCCTAGAAGGAACCCTTCCCTTCCCTTCCCTTCCCCCCTTTGTCTCCTGCCTCCCACCCCCACGCCAGCTGGCTCTCTGTGGTGGACACCCCCGAGGGTGCGGGATGCGGTGTCCTACCCCCTCGCAGCTGCCCGCCCCTTCCGCTTCTCTGCGTCGAGCAGGGTGTCTCAGAAGCAAGAGCCTTTCTGGCCGCCTCTCTCCATCTCGCAGGTAGGAGAAAGATGGAGGGACGGGGAGGATGGGCTGGAGAAGGCCCGTGGCTGTGAGGTGGCCGGGCCTCCTCCTCTCCCTCCTCGACAGCGCGCGTTTGGTGGCTGCGTGGAAGCCACGCCTGCTGCTGGTGCTTGTGGCCACTTTATGCTGGGCCTCCTTGGCTCATGGCGGAGTGAGAGTCCGGGCCCCTCCAGGGACTCCAGGGGTGAGAATTTCAGCCCCCTTTTGAAAACCGTGCCCTCTTCGCATCCCCGAACAGATGCACGCCCTCAAAAAGATGCACGCATTCTAGACCTGCTGCTTGCGTTTGGAGAAATGATCTTTTTTGAAAATGGCACTTACGAAACATGCCGTTTCAGGCGTGGGGAAAGTGTGTCTCGGGCGTGCAAAGGCACACTTTCCCTGCTCCAAAAAAAGAAAGTGACACGCTCGAGAACAGGAGCGGGCTGAAGCGCGCTCTGAGGACAGAACTGGGAAGGAGCTCACGCCCCCCACTGCGCTTCCCGAGCGCCCTCTTGCCCCCATCCACCCACTGGGCAGACGCCGTGGAGGGCCTGCGAATCTGCGCCCCAGGCTCTGGGATGCTCTTGGATAAGACTTTCCCAGTGCGCCTTGCGTGGGTGCCCCCGCAGAACGGCGGGGGGCTCGTTCTGGCTCTGGTTCGTCACCGCTTTTTCCAGGTGGGGGAAGCCAGAGCAGGGGGAAGGGGCATAGCTCAGACGTCGAGCACCTCTTGGCAAGCAGGCCCTGCCGGTTTCATCCTGGGGGGAAGCCTCTCCGAAACCTTGGAGGGATGTGTGCATCTGACTGTTCTGCCCTGGGGGGCCCCGTGGTTTGGCTCAGTCCAAGGTAGCGCCTTTGCTCCTGGCAGCAAAGAGGGGCCGAAGCCGGGTCCCTGGTGGGGTGGCAGTGGAGCTGCTGAGGATGCAGGCGGCTGGATCTGTCGTGCCTCGGGCATTTCCAGGGTCTGGGGGGCTTTGTGAATATGCCTGCAGGAGAAAGTCTCTGAGATCTCCTTTGCCTGTTTAAGGGCTGCCCTTACAGACGCCCCAGGTGAGGGGGGCAAAAACACGGCTTTTACGAGGGCAGCTTCTGATACCTTCCTCCAGCTCGGAAGGCACCCCAAGATCAAGCGACGCCTGCATGCATAGTCCGTTTTATTTTTCGTGTCACTTAAGGAGCAACCTTAGGCATGTTTAAACAGGAGAAGCTCCCAGCATGCCCCAATCAGCCTGGGGCCACCTGGGAATTGTAGTACCTTTCTGCTGACGAAGTGGGCTTCGGACCGGCCCTTAATCTCTCAGATTTCTCTACCCAGTGTCCGCACTCTCTGGTCACACCAGCGACAATCGCACTCTTTGTGCGAGGGTCCCCTGCCCTCTTGGTTTGTGCTTTTGCTGATGCTCCGTCTGGTGAAGGCTCTCAATCCAATCAGTGCGGAGATTAAGTCTTCATGGAATTAGCTGTGCAAAGAGGAGGGTGTTTTGTGGTGGGGCGGGATATTAGCCGAAATCCTAGCCTTTGCTTGGCCACCACTGATCCCTCCCCGTTCAGTGTGCAAAGGGACAGAGAAGGAGTACACAATTCTTGCGGCGTTTCTGTAAAATATCGAATGAGGCTCAAGGGGGACTTAATTTCCAAAATGATCGGTACTGAGCCTTAGTGTTTTTCTTGGCCTGGTCATCTTGCTCCCTAAATCCTCTGCATAGGCAGTGGATACTGGGGAGAATGTGTTTGGGGGGATGCACTCTGTACATGTTCAGAGGTCCCTTGCTTTCCTCTTTCATGTGTTCCAGGGCTCATATCCCACTCCAACAAAAAGGCTCTTTTTGGATGGAGTCCCCTTGGGTTGTGGAAGACTTAGAGTAAACCAGCCAAGGATGTTCTATAAGGACCTTGATCCAGAAATAACTTTGGGTCTGAAAGGGGGACAGTGCCAGCTAGCTAGAGAATAAACATCCAGTTTTACAAGCAAACTATTTGGGGCATTCGGTACATACAGGTTCGTTTATTGGTATCTATGTTATTGTGTACAGAACCGGGCTTCTAAAACATCCCCTGTGAAGAAGGCTTTTAAAATAAAGATTCTAGTCCTCATGTTTACGGGGCAAAACTCTTCTTCTTGCCACTGGAAAAACACAGGCACTGTGTGCCCCCTTAGCTAGGATCCTTAAGAGTATAAGCTTTCTTTGGCACTCCAAAGCTAAGAATAAACTGGTCAATTGGACTGCGTAATCTATGGATTAGCTTCTCTCATGTGCCTGCGTTTGGCACTGGGCCCCTGCTGGCCGCCTGGCTTTGCTCTGCCAAGAGTGCAGGCACCGGAGCGCGTGAGGAAAGGGTTAACTGCTCTGCCCAGAGCTGGGTAGTAGTGATGGTCTTGATTCTTCTAATCCATTATCCACCACTGTGGAGAGGAGGGGAGCCCGGCGGGGGGGGGGCGGGGGGGGCTGTGTTTCTGCTCCCAGCTTTTCTCTGTCCTCCGGCCCTTGGCGCTCGAAGCTCCGCACAAGCGAACAGCAATTGTGCCTAGATAAAGCCTTGCATTTTTAACAAACATTACTTCTGGGGAAGGCAGAAATAATGACGTTTCTGGAGAGGAAAGGAATCGGCATGACTTTCAGACCATATGCTTACAAAAGTGGCTGATATTTTCTCCTTCTCCCTGCCCCTTCTGAATCCCCCTCCCTCAATTCCCCCAAGTTAAACGCAGATTAGAAGGTTGGGCTGTTGGCTGCCCGGAGGCTGGGTTCAGACAATACATTAGCCCATGTTTCGACAACCTGTGGTTCAGTGAGAAGCCACCCTCAAGGGGTCCCGGGGGTTACTCTGCTTCCCCAGCCCTCTGAAGCGTGTAAACAGAGGCCAGGGGTGCGGAACTGAAAGGGTCGCAGGCCAAAGACGGACCCAGATGGACTTCCCTGGGTCTCCGGGAGAGCAAGAGTCCTGCCGGAAGAGTCCCAGCGTCGGTGGGTTGCAGAAGGGCAGAAAGGCCTCCGTGCAGCTGCGCAACTGGCTGGTTTGTAGCTCGACGCTAAAATATGCTGGGAATGCGGTCAAGACCCCTTTTGAAATCGCCTCCGGCTGCTGGGCCGAGGGAAGGCCAGCGCCCCTCGTGCAGGGATGGGATCACGGCTAATCCCTCTCTGCAAGGCCTTAGCTGAGCGTGTGCCCACATGGGGCCGTGAGAGATGGCGCGCTGCTGAAGGAAAGGCATTCTGCACATGCTCAGAGGTCATGTCCTCGCCGTGTGCTGCGATGGCATTCTGCTGCAGAAATGAACACCGTAGGGCTGGAGAAGTGAGAAGGGGAATTTGGCAAAAGGGAACGGGGGGGGGGTCTTTTTGTGGGGACGAAGCAGGACAGCGTGTTTTGTAGCGTGTGGGCAAGAAAAGGAGAGCTGCAGCTTGCTTTCCAAAAAAAGTGCCATTATGCTAATATAAATACACCTCTTCAATGTATTAATCCCCGGTCTTTTTGTGCGAGGGACCCAAAGCAGCTCACGCGGTCCTCTGCCATTTTATCCGCACAACAACCCTGTGAGGGAGGTCAGACACAGTGACTGGCCCAAAGTCACCCAGTGAGCTTCATGGCTGATTGAGGACTAGAACCCAGATCTCCTGGGTCCCAGTCACACACTCTAACCACTAGGCCATACGGGCTCGCCAGCACCATCATTCCACTGTTCTCTATCCAGGTAAACCATGTGGAATAGCTCCCTTAGTTCCCTTAGCACTCCCACTTTTAAATGCCTTTTCTTACCCGCAGCTGGGATTATGGTGAGCAAGATTTCTGTTGGTGCTGGAAACTGGCTTCACTGGGGCCGTTTAATGAGCTGGGGCTCTGTACCTCCTCCGTGGCCTCGTACTCGGTCTTTGGCCAAGGCGCGTGTCCTTTCGCATCCCTTGCCTTCTAGCCATAGTGCAGTGATGCCCCGGACAATTTCCCGAACGACCCCACGGCCGAAAGAGGGTTGCCCACCGCCAGGGAAAACCGCAGCCCTCACGCCTGTCCACAAAGGGCGCCTCTCCAAAGCGGCGGGGAGGGAGAGAGAGATCGCTGCCCGATTTCCCATCTCCGCAGACTGGAGCATCTCTGAGTCGCTCTCTCTGAGCAGAGGCCGACGCAAAGGTTTTTCCTGGTTTAGAGTGAAGCTGCCCCGGCTTCTGGTGGCTTTCTCGCAACCGAACCCTTCCAGCGAACGGCCCCACTGGCTCCCCACGGGCCACCGCCTGGCCTCGGCCGCTGCCCACGCCGGCCCCTTAGCGACCGAGGCGGAGGGCTCACACTGCGCCCCAGGAGGCGCAGCGCAGGGCAAGCCGAGTGTCCCGCTCCGGCTGCTTGACCCGGATTTGGCACCGCAGCGCCCGGGGAGGCAGAGTCACCGGAGCCGCGACCCAGACCTCCCCTGCGCCAGGCGGGCACGGATCTGCGCTGACCGACTGGCCCCGTGCAGCCCCCTCCCGGCCAGGGCTCCGGGGCATTTCTTTCCGGCTGGGGGGCAGGATCCGGCTCCAGGATGGCCTCATTTCAGGGTGAAGCGGGTCCCTGATTGGGTTTGGCGAAGCAGCACACAAGGTGTTGAGTTCACCATCCGGATGGGGGGAAAATCCCAGGAAATACCAAGGAGGCGGTGGAGAAAATGCTGAGGTTTTCCCAGGAAGGGGGGCCTGGCCCTCGCCAAGGCAGTCCACGCCACCACCTCACTGCTCTTCTTTTTTATTATTTTGATGCACATAAAGAGTACATACGGAAGGATGTGAAACAAAGCAAACTAAAATAAACAGAGCAAGCTAACATGAACAAAAAACAAAGTTGCCAAGGGCATTCTACGCAAATGCAACCTAAACATTCAAACCCCCAGATGTATCTGTCTTTCAACACGCTGTAAGGGTGTAATATCCTGTAATATCCCAATCTTCTCAATTCCTCTGCTGCTGGTTTTTCCTTCTCCAAACTCCCCTCAAATCCTGCTAGTCAGGCTGGACATAATAAAAATTCCATTTATCATTAAATTCTTCTAGTGGTCTTTTGTTAACTTGGCCACCACAGCATATTCAGCTAGTCTATGTCTCCAATCTTCAATTATTGGGGCCTCCACCAATACCATTTAAAAGCAATTGTGATTCCTGCTGCAATTGTCGTATGCTTAAATAGCTCTAACGTGTTCTTTGAAAAGCTCTCTGGCACTACATTCAAAAGCATATTCTTGGAACTCCTAGGAAACTTAATTCTGAAATTTTTCTGTATTTCCACATGGATCTGTTTCCAAAATCTTTTCATTATTTTTCAAGTCCACTACGTACGATAGTCCCCTCCACCCGATTACATTTCCAGCATTTTCTATTGTAATTCTTATCTCTTTTTTCAGCTAACTTCTCTTATTGTCTGAGGATCCTCCTGACCCCTTGCGACTTTCACCCACTCTGCTCCAGCCTGCCTTCTCACCATCCTGCTTGCCCTATTCCAGACCCATATACTTCGTAGATGTTGGTCTTAAAATGCTCTGTAAACTTGTAATCCTACACACATTGACCTGGGACCAAATCCCATGCAGCATTGCAAGGATTGCTTCTGAGTAGGCACGTCTGGGGTGCGCCATCCCCTCCTGCCCAAAGCGAACCTTTCCTTGAAGGAGCCCCGTGAGCCATGTTCCACTTCCGCTTGGCCACACGGTAGCAGGCGTGTTTATTGATCTGCTGTGGCTGATGCTTTTCCCGTGAGATGGTGGAATGTTTGTGCGCGTCCCGTGACGTCACAGGAGCTTGGCGGGTCATAGAGGGGCCTGTGGACCAGCAACCGGGAGAGGAGAGCTGCTTTTCGGTCTCTTCCTTAAAAAATCTGCTGCCCCTCTCGGAGCCTTTGAAATGCTCTGCCTTCCTCATCCAGATAAAAATCCTGACCCTTTCTGCTCTCTTGTTGGCGATTTCCAGGTTCTTGCATGAGGAACTCAAGCGGGGACCAAGCAGGGGAGGATCGGATACCCTGACGGTCTGGCGTTCCGAGTGGCGGAAGCAGGTCGACGTTGCCGGTAAGTGGAGCCTCATCGCCGTGTCTTAAATTTGTGGGAGGTGGAAGCCAAACGAATGTCCTTTGGGTCAGCCATTGCTCGTCGCTTGACCTACCTCACAGGGTTGTTGTGAGGGCAAGGTGGAAGATTATGGAAGCCAGCTTTGGTTCCTTGCAAGAGGGGGGAAAGGGGGTGTACAGTCATGGATCGAGTGGCAGTGATGCCAATTCAATCTCCTTGAATTTCAGGTCATAACACAACAAAAACGTGGCAGTCATTTTATATTCAATAAAAGCAATGACTCGTTTTTAATTCAGAGGCTTGCGGAGGAGCCTCTTAAGAGAGAACGACTTCTTCCAAAATGGCCTCATGCAAATTGGAAGTGAGGAATCTCATCTCAGGAGCCAGCTTCTAATTTGGAAATTCTCTTGGGCCATATTCTAACAGTGGGTGGAGCCAGAAGGGTCCCCAAAATTAAAAAAACAAACAAACCATTACTCTTATTGCCAGTAACTAAGCGATATAAGAAGTATTTCAGTGCGTGCCTTTTCGATCAGGGAAGGGATGGCACAAAGGTCAGGAGACCCCCAAAGGGTCAGCGGTGGGGGGCAGTGTGTGGCCACGGGTTCAAGTCCCTCCTCAGCCCTGAAGCTCGCTGGGTGACCTTGGGCCAGTCACTGGCTTCCAGTCATGCCTACCTCGTAGGGTTGTTGATGAAAATGGAAAGGCAGGTCATGAGCTCCTGGGAGGAAAAGTTGGAAATCCAGTTTAAATAGCAGCAGGTAAATAAACTACTTACCCTCAGGGCTTAGCCTGACTTCTGCGCGTGATTCAAAGGGCTGGAGCAAGCCATTTTTAACCTGCATGAGCTGGCACCGGCGATCGGTGCAGGTCTGGGAGGGCTGTACGTGAGAAGGCCACGCATAAGGTTGAGGATTGTGAGGAACGTGAGGACTGGACATGGGTCCCCTGAAAGATGGGCAGTGAAATGGAGGTTCAACTCTGCCACTGCTCCACTGAGGAAGGGCAGGAGTTCAGAGACAGAGTATTGAATGGATGAATCAATGAACAAATAGTTGCTGGCAGTTAGTTTAGTCCAGGGAGGGCACCGGTTAGAGAAGGCTGTTGTAAACAGTGCCGGAGGAGATGGGCCTTGTGGTCTGGTGCAGCACAGAGCTGCTTTCCGTGTTCTTGTTTAAATCAGCCCTTCATTCAGAACCATGAGGACTAGAATCTTGGGCTGCGTTTGGCGTGCACCGACTTCAAGGGATTCAAGAACATAGCTTGTGTCACCTGAAAGATTCCCCCCAGGTGGTAATTTGCTTGTGAAACGTGCATCTTGATTCCTACACTCTTCCTTTACGGAAGGGCTATGACACATGTTTTGCATGGAAACGTTTCCAGGTTCGGTCCCCAGGACCGGAAACCTTGTAGTCCATGCAGAGCTGTAGATTGATGACGTAATGTAGAACTTTTTTTGCACAAGGCATTAGTTGTGAGTATGTCATTCCTTACTTGTGCACGTTTGCAGGTCCTTGCATTATCCCTTCTGTTTGTAAACAGCAAACCCTTTTTTGCAATGTTTTTTAGAGCAGGGAAAATGGGGTATTACTTTGGTGGGCAAAAGAAGGTTTGATTTCCTGGCATGCATTTGCGCAATGCTGCTGTACTACAGTGCCACCTAGAGGTCATGATGCAGAATGGTAGGAAAGGAAATTATGTCTCCCCCACATGGAGTACTTCTGATGTCCTCTGCAGCTTTCTGGGAGGTCCTTTTGGGTGCCCTTGGGCTATGGGGGCCTAGATGTTGGCTCCAAGGCCCGGCCTTGGCTGTGGGGAACAACTGGACCGCTTTTAAGCTCCTCTCGTGGGTCAGAAGCTGTAAAAAAAAGAAAAAGAAAAGACCATTTCCTTGCTTGCTGGAACCGTCTGTCAACATAGCACAGCAACCTGGGCTCTGCCCTGCTTTTCGCTCTTGGTGCCAGCCGTAATGGGCTACCTGTCTCGGAGAGTCATGGCGTTGATGGATGGCGCTTTTAGCGCATGGCTTGCAGACGGAAGAGCGCCGTTCCACGGCTCCATCTTGGCAAGCCGAGCGTCAGCCCAAAGACTCGGCGGGGGATACTGTTCGATTCGCATTCTGCTTCCGGGAGGGGGGGAAATGCTCAGGGAGGCTGCAGGAATTCTGAAAAACAGCACTGCCATTTCTGCGGTGAAAAGAATATTTGAAATTGCCTGCGCCTGGTGCACACCCACACGTGGATTCGATCTCCAGGGTGGCGTGTTCCTTTGGCTTCCGGCAGGCACCTGTCTTCAGTTTGGCAGTCGCTTTCCACCAGCCTCTCTGTTCTCAGTCTGGGTTGATCTGATTGAGCCCAAGGTGATGTAGTTTGGGGGGGGAAAGGCGAGTAAGGAAGCAAGATGGAGCTGCGTGAAAGGACACAAAGCATGGATAATAGTAGAAGTTGGGCCCGAGACCTGGAGCTGAGCAAGGAAAGGGGCAGGAGGGGCTTTTGCAGGCAGCTCAGAGCCAAACGGTGGGATTCACTCCCAGGAGGTGTTGTGATGGCACCGACACGGGTGGCTTTAAAAGGGGATTGGACAAATTTGTAGGGGAGAAGGCTGCTAGTCCTCATGGCCATCTGCTGCCTCCAGGATCAGAGGCAGCAGATCCCTTTGCTGGGGAACATGGGCCGCTCAGGTCCTGCTTGTGCAGTTCCCCTGGGTAAGTCACTGTGGGAAGCCGTGTTGGGAGTCTTCGTTCTGACCCAGCGGGGCTCTTACCTGTCATTTGGGGTTGGAGCACTGCTCGGCCTTCCAGGCTTGTTTAAAGATGGCTGAGATAGAGATGTGCTGTGTTACCACACCTTCCAACACTTGTGCAGGGTTTTGAGCGCTTCCCCACAAAACCCGCATGTTGTGTTCCGTGCGCACGAGCCGCTGTGCGCGCGCATGAGACGGAGAAGGCTTCGCCTTTCGGGCGCGTGCTGGTGTCGCTGGCATTCCTGTTGTGCCGGCCACAGCCTCCATGCGCAGGATTTAAACATTTTCCACATCACTGCAAACTCCACGGGCCAAAAGCTGATTTCACAACTTTATAGAAAAGACTGGCTTTCCTCAGAGCTGCCCGGAAGCTGGCTTAACATCCCGATGCTCCTTTAGAAGGTGCGCAGAGGAATTAAGCAATGCGCTTGTGCTGACCTGAGTCCTGTGTCCAAAGAGGGGGACCCCTAGAGCTGGACAGGCCGTGCCGTAAAACATTTGTCCGGCTCTGAGGGAGCAATCCGGCACGGGGGTTTTTTCTAGCTAAATGCACAGCTGGCAGCAGGGATTGTGGCATGTTGTGTCTCAATGGTCATGGGATCGCACATGGAGAGACCCCAGAACGCAACTCCTATCATCCTCCACCACTGGCCACACTGGCTGAGACGTGTGGGCCTTTGTCTGTTGGAATATGCACAGGACTGCACCTGAAGTGAAAAGATACGGGACGCGGCAGGGGAATTCAATCGCGGCGTTCTTCGCATGTTTGACTTTAATCCGCCCTTTTGATTTGGGCTGTGTCCCCTTCGCGTGTGGCTTCACCCACCACCGAAATGTGTTTTCTGAGAAGCTTCCTGAAATGGAATGATGCATGTTTTGAGAAAAACAGGGGGTGGAAGGGGGGAATGGTGCCAGAAAGTAAAAAGGAAGGATCTCTAAGTGCTAGACCTGTTTTAATCCCCAGAGCAATCCGGTAAGGCCTTCTGCGGGGAATGGGGTACCGCCTTGCGCAGAGTCGATGTCGCGAAATTCAAGCAGATCCCCGTGGAATTAGGGGAGGGGGCACGGCCATCGGGGCAGAGCCCGAGAGCCGGTTCTGGGGCTGCAACTCTGGTGCGCACCTTTTCGGAAGCGTGCCCGGGTGGAGGGGCACAGGGACGCTTTCGTTCGCAGCGGGCGGGGGGCCCGGCTCTTCCGTGCCCCTCAGCCTCCCCGGCTTCCTCCTCCGTCCCCTGCAGGCACCATGAGCAGCACGCTCTCCCCCACCGACTTCGACAGCCTGGAGATCCAGCAGCAGTACAACGACATCAACAACCGCTGGGAAGTGGCCGACGAAGACTGGGACAACGAGAACAGCTCGGCCCGGCTCTTCGAACGCTCCCGCATCAAGGCGCTGGCAGGTCAGGGCAGCGCCGGTTTTATCTCAGGCTGGTACCACGCGGGAGGTGATGGAACGGCAGCTGGCAAATTGCCTGGGGGGGGGGTGCAGTGCCCCTGAGCATATGCAGAGTGGGCTTTCCGCTCCCCGGGGAGTAATCCCCCATTGGCCCAAATGCAAGCCCGGCGCTGTGGAAGCGGTTTAGGAGCTGTTGCTTAGACGTGAGGGTGCTGGCTTGGCATGCAGCCGAGCCCAGGTTCAAGCCCTTGCTAGAGCCCTGTTGGGTTGTTCAGCAGCCTATACATTTAAAAATAAATGTGCATGTAAGCCAAACATCTGGAGAGCTGCAGAGTGGCCTTTCCTGCGGCGAAGGGAAAAACTGTCCTCCTCCGGAACCTGGAGAGTGGCTGCCGTTCGTGTCAGGCCGTACTGGGTTAGATGGGCCGATAGCCTGACCTGCGAAATGGCAGATTGCCCATCCCACGCTGAAGCATTTCCATTTCTCTGTGTACCACCATCGTGATCGCTGACTTTTACACATGTGGCTGTGGTTTCTCTCTCAGTATCCCTTGCAGGCAGAGTTCTCTTATTATGCCTTTTTCTCAGAAGGGAAAACTGAGGCTGGCTGGCCCGGGTTTTCTACCTGGGGCAAGCATTTGCAGAATTTTGAGCTGGAGTCCTCTCTCTCCCCCAGGCCCTGTTCTGCCTGCTCTCTGCACTGGCCTGGGCCGATCTCTCTCCTGGGGAAACTGAGGCCTGCGGCTTGCCTGCTGCGGGGCCCCTCAGCGTGGCTGTCAAAGCGAAGCAGCGCTCCCTCTTCTCTGAGCTTCCTGCACTTTGCCCTCCCTTCGAATGGCCTTGCGCGCGTGTTTACTCGACTCCCTCCCACCGCGTCCTCCCCTCTGGACAGCGTGCCAGAGGGAAGGGCGATCGCTATCATGCGCATTAATTTTATTTTATTTATTTATCGGAAGCATTTCCGGGCTGTTCGATGAGCTAACGCTCTCAGAGTGGCTTACACCGGCTGGGGATGCTTTTGTCCCAGAGAAGCACCGGCTGGCATCCGCTTGGCGTCCTGGGTTTGGGGGCCTTTCTGGCGCAGCGGCGTCCTTGGCAGTGGGCAGCGAGGTGACGGGTGCAGCTTCTCAGCTGCAACATCCCGGGACTTCAGCAACACCCACGCCAGCCGCTCTCTCAGTGCCATTCCTTACGTGGCCGAAAAGGCACCCTCCTTGGAGAAGAGGGGGCTTGGGGAAACCCCGCTTGGCAGAGGTGCAAACACCTGTAGGCAGAAATCCCTCGGGCCCCAGTTCCCTTCCATTAACCCCCCCGCCCCGGTGCTATTACATTCATTGCCTCGTAATTCCAGCCCTTAAATGCCTCTCCCAGCATCTGTTCTGTCTCATAACAGACATCCTTTCTTGCCCCAGCTGGGACAAAGACAGCATTGACATCCCCACAGACTCAAGAGGCAGTATGGTGTAGTGGTTAGTGCAGACCGGGACTCGCTGCTCGCTGCTCCTCTGTAAATGTGCCTTGTGCCCTCGAGCGTGCAGGGGTGGCCCTTGGGGGACCGGCTCAGGACCCCCCTTTGCCTGCCTGCCTGCCGTGATGGTGCTGCCGACAGGGTTGAATGCAGCGTGGCCCCTCTCAGAGGTCCATTTTATCCTCCTCCTGCTCACTCTTTCTTTTCCATTCAACTTATCTTCAGGCCGAGCGGAGAGAAGCTCTGTTCCCGGGTTCAGACAACACCACAACTTGCACTTGAGAATGGACTGTCACTGAACACCAGTGTTGTCGAAACACAGCTTATCGTGAGCTGAGCTAACAAACCACGGTGAACAAGCCAACAACCAAACATAGTTTCTTTTCATGGGCTGTTTGTGGCTACAAACCATGGCTTGTTACTGCTCTGGGGCTCAGGCATAATAAGCCATGTTTCAGCAGCAGCCCAAAGCCAACCCTTGAGCCTAGGTCATCCCGTTCTCTTCCTGTGCACCAGGACGAAGTCCCATATCCCAGAAATATTCCGAATGGGCTCCGGGGCAAACTGGAATTCAGTCGGAGGCACTGGACTCTGACTCGTAATTCCGTCCAACCTCCCATGCTTTTCCAGAGCTCGAATCAAGAATATGCAGCCACTCCACCTTCCCAAGCATCCTCTACTCTTAATGTCCTGCAGAGACTTCCCATAAACGGTCGGAGTCCTGATGCAGATGCCCCAGATTGGAAGCTAGCCTGATTTGCATTAAACTTGGCTTCCTTTGCAACACGGCAACGGGAGCGCTGGCCTCGAGCTGGCGGAACCAGACACGAATCTCCGCTCGGCCTCGAAGCTGGGCAGGTGAGCTCGGCCGCTCACTGCCTCTTAAGCTGGCCCCACGTTGTTCCCGGGTTTAAAAAGTGGCAGGCAGAGGACTTCTGCCATGCCTTGGACTCCTGGGAGAAATGGTAGAACGAAAATTTGCTGCTAGACTGGACCTTCAGCCCTGCTTCAGATTGAGGGCCGAAGGTTCAGTGGGGCTAAACCAAAACCCAGCAGCTTTCGCGTTTGAAAGTGCAGCCTGCCAGTCGCTAGGTCTTTGGAGCAGCTTTTTGAGCAAAGGTGGGGCAGAAATTGTGCTCCACAATAACCAGGAAGCCAGCAAATGATCTATGTTTGCTGGAAAAGGGGATGAATCCTAGGATGTGGCCCTCGGAGAGGACGTTTCCCACCCTGGCTTTAATATACTCCCCTCGATACAGATGGAGTTAACTTCCCAGTCCGCATTGCAGCCTAGCTTTAGTTTCCAGTGTAGGATTCAAAATATAATCCCCATGTGAGAACTGTGTTTCTTTCTAGCAGAGCGTGACTTTAGAGTGCGCGGGTCCCTTTAGGATTTGCTCGCTGAGAAGTGATATATAAATACCAATGATACTTGAGAATTATTTGGTAAAATAAATTTCCCCTGTCTGTGCATACCACCCATCTGTCCCCACTGATGGTGGGGCTCATGCATGTATTTCAGTCTGGGAATGTTTTTGTAAACTTTGCAGTGTAAAGTGTGAGTCGGATTCAGTGGAGGACGGGGACCTGCGGCCGTTGTCCCTTGGCAGCCCCGGGAAAGCGACGGGAGAGGGCCACGGAGGCAGGCAGATGGCCAGAATTTGCCACTTGAGTAATGGGGGCCGGGGGAAGTGCTTGAGACCCAACCGGGTGGGGGTGCAGGCAGGGAATCCTGGGGCTGGAACGGCCGGGAGGGGGCTCAAAGGGATGCAGTCTGAGGAAGGGGAGCCCTGATACTGCTGAAGACGAAGCGCAATGGTCCGTGTGTGGAACAGGGTGCTGCTTTGGCAAGCTTTGGGGTCGCACAGAGTTCTTTCTCAAGAGATCTGTGGAACGCGGCGTGTTCAAAGCAACACGTAAGAACATTTACAGGTGACGGTGCAGTGTTATCGTGGGCAGTCTTGGCAATGCATGCATGATGGACCAGCGCCGTTGGCACTCTCCAGCTGAGCCACGGACTGGTCGGCAAACCACGCCCCCTTAAATCCCAAATGTCTCCGCACTGGCGGCGCTGGCCCAGTGGTGGGAGAAGGTTGCACTCTGCACATGCTCAGAGGCACCCGTTTTGCCGACGGCACAGGATGCTCAGAGGCCGAGCTTGGGCATGGCACGGAGCCCTTCTGGAGGGCTGTAGACAAGATGAACTGCAGATGGGCCTAAATAGGTAACGGGCTTCCGGAACAACTTGACTGACGGTGCAGAACATGTGACCTGGAGAACAGCTCTGTGTCACCCTAACGCTTGCATCCCCAAATTGTGAATCCCGGCTGTCCCTGTGTGGATCCGTCGAAGCGTCTTCCTTCTCTCTCCCCGCCTCAGAACTCTTCCCCTGCCACACGTGGCCTTGCAGGAACCGGATGCAGCCCTCCCAGAGGCAAAACCGAGGAGTCATTCTGCTGGCCGTGCCTGGGGGGGGAGGGCTGCGGGGCAGTAGGAACCGCCACACAAAGGCCCACAATGGGATGCAAATCCCACATTGTTGGTTCTGTCGCTGGGTGACTTCACATGTCTCTCCCTGCCCAGCTCCGTCTCTTTTCCAAAGCCTGGGAAAGCAGCAGGCCGGTCGCTGCCTTCCGGGGGAAGTTTATTCTTCGCCCCAGAGCTAATGCGAGCCCCCTTGCAGCCCGGGGGAACCTGGCTCTGCTTGGCAAGAAGGTGGGAAGGCCCAAGACCTGGGTTCCCAGGGAGGAGAAGTGCAGGAATTGCGGTGCCAGTCGCCCAGATGGCCCAAAATTCTGGGAAGCCGTCCTGCTTAAGCCGTCTGGAAAACTTGTCCCATCAACAGCTGAGTCTCCCTCCATCTCAGGAAAAATTGCTCCGGATGGCGTAACTACACAGCTTTGACAGAGAATGGATTCAAACAAGTTTGGCTTTTTATGGCCTGACCTGTGGATTCCACAGCAGGCAGCTTTTTTCTGCTTGGGTGGGTTCGGCCGACCCAGAACTCAAATTTTACTTTCTGGAATTCTACTCACATTTAGGAATCGAAAAATAAAAATTTTCATTGGCGGAAGGGGCGAATTTCCCTTCCTCATTCTAGTCTACAGCGTGAAAATGAGCTCAGCGATGGCAGTTGGGCAAATTAGCATACCTGAAAAGGTGCCAAGTGTCTGTGAGTTTGAGAAACTAGGGAAGGTGTCATTGCAAGGAGGGAACAAAGGGCACATGACTCTCTGTTGAAGGCAGACAGAATGGATTCCACCCAAACCGAAATACTTCCATGTCTCCAGAACATTTTAATTCTTATTCTTGCGGGCTTTGTTTTTGCTGACTGCGATTCCCAGCTTATTATACCCATTTTGCAGATTGCGGAAAGAGCGACGAGAGAGGCAGACTTACGTAAGCCTTTGGGATGGTTCTGGAGGTCCTGTGCTCAGCATTTCCCTTTACGGGGCGGGGAGCAGAAAATGTTTGGATAGAGCCCATTTTGAATGCAGAAACTCTGCCCAGCCGGTATTCCCCTGCCCGGCTTACAAAGTAGCAGCACACCTGAGATTACAGGTGAGGCGCCCTGGCTGAGTCCGATCCCGGCCTCCCCAGCTAAAAGCGAGAAAACTCCTCTCTGGAACTCCTGGGGGCGGCTGCTGCCAGCCTGTGCTGACAATATCGGGCCAGGTGGGCGCAGTCTGAGGCAGCTCCTGATGTCCTTCACGGGGTCACGGATTCCCAAGCCGGAAAAGGCGACTGCCGCTTGCTCTCTCAGGCATCTTCGTTTCTGTTTTCAAACCCAGCCCTGGATAAAACCCCGGAAGGCTCCTGCAAGGGGGTCTGGGCGGCCGGCGGTCCTTCTTCCCCCCTTGCTTGCCTTCACCTGCAAGGCCTCACCTCTGGCTTAGGACTGGGACTAGAAGCCGAAGGGCGCGGGCTGAGATCCGCCAGTTTCAGGCTGGGGGGTGGGCGGGCAGGCCGGCGGGCAGGTTGCCCAGCCGGCATCCCCTTCCAGGTTTGCTGGGGCTCCACACACACACACGCACGCACGCACTCGCACATGCATGCATGCACACTCGCACACACCCCCTCTGCCGCTCAGGGCAGCCCAACCTGTTTTTATGTAAATGTGCCCGGACTGCCTCCCTCGCCTGGGAGGGGGAAGCGGCCTCGCTCCCTCCCTCCCTCCGACGCGACGCGACACGCCACTCACTCCAAGGTGCCGGCCACTGCTCTTTCCTGCTACCTGGGCCCAGCCACGGGCCGTGTGCGGGGGCCGCCCGAGAGCCCCAGCGCGAGGATGTTCCACCCCGAGCCGGAGCCGATGGAGGTGCTCCAGGGCCCTTCTCCCCCGCCGGAGCTCTCTCCCGCAGCCTTCATCAACGCGATCCAGTATGCCAACGTCCTGGAGGGCAGGTTCAAGCAGCTTCAAGGTAGGGGATCGGGGGAGGCGCGGGGGCTCCCCTCGAGGGAGGGGGCTGGGGGCATTATGAGCAGGGAGCCGGTCCCGGGGCGGCAGTGGGCGGACCCCGACCCTGACCCCGATCCTTCGGGGGCTGCCAGCAATTAGCCTGGGGCGCGTTGGTTTTGCCCCGGACTGCCTGGCAGAGCTTCCTGGGGGCGGTGGCCAGCCGCCCCCTGCCTGGGCTGAAGGCTGTGGGACCTATCGCTGCCCCCCAGCTGTCCTGACAGAGGGAAGCAGGCCAGAGGTGGGTCGGGAGACCTTGACAGAAGAGACAGGAAGGGCAGGCGCCTGGCCGGACAATCGCTGGGCAAACACAGAAGCGCGTCGCTTGGACACCCGCCTCTGGGCCCCCTCCCGGCCCACGCTGCTCTCCCCCGCCCCGATTCAGCCAGCAGCACCTTGACCCTTGGCGTCCTCCCTGTCCCCGTCACTCGCTTGAAAGATTACTCTCCTACCTGTCAAGCGACGCGTCTCCCCACCAGATTCAACATTCGCACTGCAGACATACTTTGAAACATTGCACAAAACATTGCCGGAGAAGCCAAGCGGGGCTTAACGTAAATCCTCCATGAAAGGCTCAGGAAGTGGGAAAGCACCTTTCCTTGCCTCGGAGGCTCCGACCCGCGTGCTCCCTGCCATCTGAGGGCTTCAGGTGCCCCACGCAGCGCCGCGTTTCTTAGCCGACAGATGCACAAGGACCCGGTCGCACTGTCTGGTGACAGTTTCTCCGGAATCACGATCCTCTCGCGCACAGCCGGCCGGCGGCCCTCATTTAGCACAAAGATACGATCTCGTGAAATGTTTCCACCCAAAAGTATATTACAGGAAAGGCTGGAATTTTGCACGGGCACGTAAGAAGACTGTATGAGCAGTTTTCTGCCTATAGGCTGCTCTTCCAGACCCCACCCGTGCCTTCCACCTCATTTGCTTTTCGGGCCGTGCGCCGACTCCGCTGGCCAGCAAACCCAGCTCTGAGATGCTGCGTTTGGGGAGGACAGCCATGCGGGGGGGTGGGGGGTTGAATTTGCGGGATCTGGTACTTCAGAGTTGTGGCCACAGGCTCTATTTTAGGGCAGCTTGTGTAGGTTTCGCAGGGAAACCAACCGGGAGGCCGGGGAAGAGGAAGGAGGACGTAACGGCTTTCGAGTTTCATGCGGGGTTTGCCAATTGCTGCATGTGATCTCGCAGTGATGCAAAACCTCCTGGGTCCTTGCCCACATCTCTGGGATTTGGGAGGTGGGTTAATCTCGTGCCAGAGCCTCGGCCCCGGCGCCTGTTTCCAGGGCTTAATCCTGGAATATAGGAGCCCAATCAATAGCAGCCTTTCTGTAGTCCTTCGTCAGCTTTTCGCGCTGGGTCACCATTTCCAGACTGCTGCGTGCTGTAAATCGGCTCTCCTGCCTCCGGATGGATGGATGGAGTTGTTCTCATTAGGAGAGGTAGAAAACGGCGTAAATAACAGGCCGAAGCAAACCTGAAATACAAGGGGAGTGGCAGGCCGCGACTTCCACGCAGGGCCCAAATGTATGCCAAATAAGAAGAGAGCGCCCTGGTCGGTTGGGTAATTGCCGGCACGGAACATGAGTCTCTCAGCTGGGCTGTGTGGATTATGCACCTGCAACGGGAAAGAAACCCAGCGTTGGGATGGAGACTGGAATGAATGGAATCGGATGTGCTGATCGCTTCTAGTTCAGCACTTTCCTATCGGAGCCTCCCTTTTGATGTCGTTTTATGCTGAAGCCTGGCGAAGGCCTGAGGTCAGCAGAAGCCGCGTGTCCCGGGGGCGAGAGAGAGAGAGAGAGGCAGAACGCTGATTTCCGAACGCTGTTGTTTGTTGAGGCCCAATTTGGACTGGGGTTGAAACGGGCCCACGTGTGTCCTGCAGGCTTTTGTATCTTTCAGGTGACTTAGCTGCCTGATGGATGCCAGCTAGCTTGGAAAGAATCTCGTGGCCACTCCCACAAAATGGCCTCCGTGGTGGCAGGGGGCTTGTCGAGTCATGAAATGGCCGCTGTAGTAGGCCCCGTTGCTCACATGTGCCCTTTTCCCAGTATGCAAACTGGTGAGCATAAAAAAATCGCTCTTGGCCAACTACTTAAGTACAAAGTGCAGGAGATGCCTGAACTCCAAAATCCAACTCCCTCTGAACCCAAATAAAGTTGGCTCAGAAGGTGGCGCTGTTCACGCCAATCTTCTAGTCCTCTGGGTTTAAGAATTTCAAGGGGCAGGGAGCCCGGGGGGCACCAGGAAAGGTGCTGCAGGTACATTGGTGCAAGAGAGACCCCTAGTCTTAATTTTCTGGTAGGGAGAAAATGCCTCTTTGTAGCTGTAGGATCTAATCCGAACAGCGATTTCTGGGGGCAGCTTTTTGTAAGCCAGAATGAGTCGCTGCTCTCCTCCTCTAGCAGTTGAGAGAGAGGGGGGCCATTGTCCAGGATAAGCTGGGGACTGCAAAAAACATTTTTAAGGCCTCGAAGGCAGGCCTTTCCTCGCCGAGGTGCAGCCCGCCGAGCGGACGCGTGGGCCCGATGCTGGGCGGTGGAGTGGGGGCTCCCGTCCAGCCCTCTGCCGAAGCGGGGAGGGCTCAGGGAGGCCTGGAGAGACACCGCCGGGGCTCCCTGAGGAAGCCTCGCTTTCCAAAGACCAGCCCAGCAGAAGCCCTGCTCAGACACGTCCCGGTGATTCAGCCTGGGCCCTCAGCCCGGCAGTGGCTGCCTCCGCATGCGCTGCCACGCACGGCCAGCCGGGGCGATGTTGCGGCACCCGCTTGGGCTGCGGGGCAAATGCCAGCCGCGCGGGCGGCCGGGGAGGAACGGCCGACATCGCCGCCACCACCTCCCCAGGGCAAGGCGACTGTCGGCTGAAACCAGGCCAGGCGACCCCCTCCTGCGACGGCAGGGTGACTTCCGGCACTGGCAGGTGTGCCGCCGAGCGAGCGTGAACGATCGGTGTAGTTGGGCAGCTGTCACGGGCCCGTAGGGGATTCCTGGAAAAAAATTCTGCTGGAGCTGCGTCGTGTTGCCGCCTGCTACGATGCGCGGGGCTTGTTGAGGAATTTTTTTGGCTCGCTCTGTCCTCCTTGCTTTCAGCCATTTCTTCTACTGGGTTGTGCTTTCCTCTCCATGAGGAGCTGTCGGAAGTTGATTTCAGGCCCTGGGTTCCAAGAGGTCCTCCATCCACACCTCACACCATGCACAAAGGGCGGAAACAGAGGCCCAGAACAGGCACTTTGTCTAAGCCTGCCTAGTGGATTTCTGGAAGCAGTGACGGCAGACTCCTTCAATCTATGTCTCATTCTCCTAGCCCCGACATTGGCTAGGGGCTAAATAGAGGAGTTACTAGGGTAAAATAAAGGAAAACGTGTATTTCTTGCAAGAGGAACAAAGGCAGCGTATAAATGGCGATAAAATACCCAGAAGACCTGGGAGAACGAGAATTTTTGTTTGTTTGTTTTTTGGCTTGGTACCTAAAAAATAGCAGAATAGATCTTAATGACTCCTGAAGGCACAGAAACCCTGCCAGATAAGAAGTTAAAGATTGCTAGGAAGGCTGAGACGGCCAACCGAGTGATGATAACAATGGGCTCCTGGCTGATAAAAGTGTTTGCACTTGATTTGGTGATCTGTTGTTTAATGAATTAAAAGATGACGCCCATTTGCATATTACCAATACAGCAGCATTGGTTCCTTTCTGAGATACTGAAAGGAAAGTAGGAGGTCCGTAAACGTTTAACGAACATTGTGCACATCGCTTGCGGGAAAGCCGGCATTCCTATTTTGCATTGTGTGGCCTGTTAGCAACATACAAGAAACAAGTAGCTCCGTGAAGTCTGCCCTGTCCGTTTGTTCCATTTATAGCCCGCCCCGTGTCCTCCAAGGCTGTATATACCTTGCCTGCCGCAGGGGCGCAGAATTTTAGTCCTGGGGCCAAATCCAAGTCTCATCCCTTCCTCTGGACCCACTGACTTTCTCCCGACAAGCGGTTCCCCAGCTTTTGTGCAGCCCCCCGATTCTCCCCATTTCTAAAGGACTGAACCCCCGAAGGGTTGGCTGCTGGTAGTGAAGGGTTTAACCTAAAGAAAAATGCTGGGATTTGAGGGTATCTTGGCCCCTGTTGTGCCTGCCACCGTTGGAATGCAAGCCGGAAAGTCGCTCCAAATTGGCATTCTGCGGTCAAATATTCTGTACCCACATCCAACTCTGACCTGGCCACGTCTGGTACCTGCTCCTTCTACCTGCAGATGGCAGGAATTGGACCTGGGTGTTCAGGTGCAGCTCCCTCTCCAACCGGCACTGGATATTCCTGTGGCGCGAGTTCCTATTTTGGCAACGAAAAGCCCATGCGGCGTAGAGGTCGGACTGTGGTCGGACTGCGATGCGGGAGACCTGATTTCTTTTTGCCACTGAGCTGAGCAGCTCACCGGATGATTTTGGGCCAGGAAATCTCAGCTGGGCCCACCTCCCCAGGTGGTTGTGCAGACGACTGTGCCAACTGCTTTGGGATTCTTGCAAAAAGGAAAAAGGGCCCATCGAGGTTTGGGACAGTGTTCCAACATGCTTGATGGGATTCTGGAGAACGAAAAAAGCTCAGAGGATATACATGGGCTTGTAAGCAAACGCTGCGTCTGAGCGCCTGCTCTGGGGCACATGGAACATTCCCGGACATCCTGTGACATCACAGCGGCTCAGTCAATGGCCGCTGGCGACTGGCAGGCCGAAGGCGAGGTATACCCTTCGGTAGGGCAGAAATTACAAGCCTGGCCTGCGGTTGGGTGGGGATGATGGGGTTTGTTTCACGGAGGAAGCAAGAACAGGAAAGCGTCCAGTTTGGGCATCTGGCGGCTAACTGGGTTGTGGGGAGAGAGCGGCACACTGAATGGCGTGCACTTTGTGTTGCAGATGAGCGAGAGGCTGTGCAGAAGAAAACGTTCACCAAATGGGTCAATTCTCACCTGGCCCGCGTCACCTGCCGCATCAGCGACCTGTACAGCGATCTGCGTGACGGACGGATGCTCCTGCGCCTCCTGGAGGTCCTCTCAGGGGAGCAGCTGGTGAGTGGCTGAGACGCGGACAGTTCTGCCCGCAGCCGCCTTGGGCCCAAGCAACAGTTTCAGCATTTCAGTGCACTTTAAAGCAAGCCGAAATACAAATTTATCTCCACGATACATGTCCCATTGAAGAAGTGTTTCAAGTAGAAGACGTCACTGAGAAAGGGAAACTTGAGTACGCTCAGCTTGACTAATGGGAGTCGAGGGGAGTTTGGGAAGGAAAAAGAAAAGCAGCAGCAGATCTGAGGGATCGGGAAGATGGACCTGTTGTATAGATCGGTGATTCCTTTTCTGTTCCACTCGCAAAGTGCTGAAAGGCAGGAAGATAGATAGTTCTGGGGATTGAATGTGTAGGTTGTATCTGTTTAAAATTCTCTTGGCAACTTTGTTCATTTTGGTTTGGCTTGTTCTGTTTATTTTGGTTTGCTTTGTTTCACATTCTTTTTTATGTATACATTTATGTTAAGAAAAAGGTGTTACGAATGGGATGGTATATAAAAGCTTTCGACGAATAAATAAAAAATTAAATATATAAATTTGTGGCCAGGGAATAAAACTTGCAAGGGGCCCTTAGAGAAGAGCAGGCTTTCTCCATCCTGGCCACGTCTCTTAGCTCTGCTCAGGTGAGACTAACCCCGATCACCTCCTCCGCAGGAGGTGCACACCTGTTCCCACAATTCCACATTTCGCTGCCCTTGCAGGTGAGCGCGGAACAGCCCATTCCCAGGCTAAGCAGGGCAGTTTTTCCGGTTTCCCGGCAGCCTGGCAACAAGATCCGTCTTGCCTGGCAACTTGGCAGGAGATTTTTCTGCCTGCTGGATTTCTGGCAGATGTTCACGGGGAGATCCCGCAGCTAGCTAGAAGATGCCCCAGGCGCCACAGGGTGAAGGGAACCAAGCAGGCTGCCTTGGACCATCCAGACCCATCTGCCCCAGCTCGGATGGGCACTTAAAGGAATGCAGAATGAATTCCCACAACACTCATTTGCTGAGTCTCTCCAGGGCGAGATGGAAACTGCTCGATCGGGGTTGTTGACCGGGAGCTGTGTGTGTTTTGGGACTGCGCTCGGGAACTTGGTTTAGGGTTAGGTTGTTCGGGATCACGCAAATAGATCAGCTGGATTCCTGACTTGGTGGCTTTGTGAAAGTGGCAACAAAGCAGTTTCCAGAGCCCCACACCGGAGCTGGGGGATAGCAGGTGTGCTCAGAAGTGGAAGCCTGTGAGCCCCATTCAGTTCTGCCACATTCCCGGGCTCAAATTCTTTAATCGTGAGTGTCTGTCTTCAGCCTCAGGCTCTGGGTGGTGGATCTCAGATTCTAGTGAAAACGACTTGTAAGAAGGCCCACACCTGTGGTAGGTGAGCATCTCTTCTCACCTTGCGTAGTGAAGCTATAAAAATTGCTGTTACGCAATGGTACGGATGGGGGTGGTTTTTAAAGGGGATTAGTCACATCTGTGGAGGATCAGGCCATCCGAGACTACCAGCCCCTGGGGCCACAGGCTGCCTCCAGGATCAGAGACAGTGTGCCTAGGGCGACTAGTTGCTGGGGAACATGGGTACGAAGGTGCTGTTGCATTCCTGGTCTGCTTATGGGTGTCCCGTGAGCACTTGTGGGAGAAGATGGGTCTCTGGTCTGATGTTATTACACTCAGATCTTGCATTTCTTACTCGGCCTTCTCCCCGTTTTATTTTCACAGCAGCCCTGTGAGGTAGGCTAGGCTGGCCCAAAGCCATCCAGAGTGAGCTTGGCAGCTGAACTGCTGAGCAAGGCGGGCTCCTCGTCCAGACGCTTGCATGCAAATGGGCTGCCGTGCAGTTGGTGGTGGGACGTTGTCTGACTTCCTCCTGCGGACTGCAAACGGCCACCCGTCGCAGCATCCTAGTCCTCATTTCTGCCTGGGGTTTCCCTCCCAGCCCCTTGCTGGCTTTTCCTCCTCCGCTCGTCTCATTTTGCTGTCCTTTGCTGGGGCGTCTCTGCTCTTCCATCCAGCGGCATGGTTTTGCGTTCACAGGCAGAGAGGAAATTCTGCTAGGCAGGCGCCTGACCTGTCCCTCCCTGGAGGGTGGGGGGTCGAACCTCGGCGGCACCCAGACAAAGCTCTTCCGGCAACGCCGACTGGGAATGCTGTGTCGGGAGGCTGGTCTAACCGGCTGCCTGCCCGCCTGGTGCAGGGCTTGGCATATTTTGGACTGTAGGCGTGCTGAGCATTTTTGGAAGCAGAATTCCTCTGCGCAGAGAACACGGAGGGGTCTGTGATGGGAGAAAGAGACAGGAGCTCTGGGAATTGCGCCTCCTCGTCTCCGTCGCTTGCCCCGGCTGAGGTGGCGGTGGCGGCAAGGAAGTGGAGTGCCAAGGGGTCTTCCGTGTGAGTCCCTGAGTGGAGGGGGCTCATGGGAAAGCCTCGCCGGGGACCCTCCGAAACCTGGAGCCGGCACGGCTGAATTTCCTTGGCAAAGGAATCAGCGATCCGACGCCCAGTACCGGGAGGTCCCCGCACGAATCTGCCGCGTGGCTGCACTTGGGATCCCGTGTCTGTTCAGGTCACGGCACCTCGGAAAGGTTATTAAGGATATTACTTAATTGTGATCATTAACTTTGTTTCATGGACGAGAGCTTTAAACCAGTCGAAAGGAATTTGCAAAGGAAAATGCAACCAGGGCCGTAATTACGGAACAAGGATTTTGAGAGGGAGACTCAGGAGCCCAAGTGAGCGGCCTTTCCCCATCTCTCAGAGGTGCTGGGCTCCAACTCCTATTTCCAGGCACGTGTCTGGGCCTGCTGTGGAGGATGGGAGTAGCAGTCCAACATATCCAGGGGTAACTAACCTCAAGGAGAGGGAAGGCCTGAGACTCCTACGTTTTGGAAGGGATTTTGAAATCCCTTTCCTGTAACCATGGGCAGGCTTGGTGACATGCGGAAGGCACTCTGGACGTGCTCAGGGACTCTGGGACTTGTCCACCAATCGGAGGACCAAAGGCCACTGAGGGGTTGCAGTGGCCGGCTTCCTAGGAAAGCACAGCCACAAGGACTCGGAAGCTAAGAACTGGCATTGGCGTTTTGCATTTTCCCTCTTCCTTCTCAATTTCTTTTTCTTTCCCAGAGCTAGTCCGGGGTTTGTAGGCTATATTTCTGTTGAAACACGCATCTGTTAAAAGATAAGCTGAATTGAGGTTCAGCTTGGGGACTCTGCCCAGTCGTGGATGTCATTTATTATCTATTTATTTAAGGTTTTCTGTACTGAGATCGTCCGCCAAAAAGGCTGTCAGAGTGACTTACAAGGATAAATAATACTGAGACAGTCCTTGCCCTCTGGCCTATAATTCAGAACAGCACGACACAAAAGGAAAGGGTTTGAAAGGGAGGAGGAAAAATGCGAAGTGGAACTACCAGTTCTTCATTTCAAAGTTTTAGAGATGTTCTCTCTGTCAGGTAGGGGCGAAACAAGCTTCCCGCAGCAAATCCTTCCAAAACACTTTTTCAAACATGAACACCTTTTGAAAGCAATACAACATCGCAACAGCAAGCGAAGTTCACTCAGGGAGGGAAGGAAATGTGTCTCTGGTTGGTGCCTGAAGCCGGCTAGAGTTGGCGCCTCCCAAAGACCACCTTATTCCGCCAAGGTGGGCGCCACCACCGAGAAGACCCCGGCTACTCTAAGTTGGCCAACTGTGGGACATGCTGCCGCTAGTCAGAACCTCTCCAATGGTCTTGATTCCAATTAATTAATCAATCCATCTCTCTCTCTCTCTTGCCTGCTAGCCGAAGCCCACCAAGGGCCGGATGCGCATCCACTGCCTGGAAAATGTGGACAAGGCCCTGCAGTTCTTAAAGGAACAGCGCGTCCACCTGGAGAATATGGGGTCTCACGACATCGTCGATGGGAATCATCGCCTGACGTTGGGTCTTATCTGGACCATCATCCTCCGCTTCCAGGTACCGTGCCAGCCTCGCATCTCCCGTCTCCCTCCTCCTCGCTCTCCACTTGGCCCGGCCCTCCACCTTTGGTCCAGAAACAATTGTGTGCCAAATACACAGAAGGAGAGACCAGGGTAGTGTATATGCAGACTCCTTTCCCCCCCAAAACATCCACTTTCATTTCAGACGAGGGGATCCACAACATGAAGGCATGTTTCTAGCCCTCATGGCCACTAAGTCGCTCTTAAAAGCATGCGGATGGAGGGGTTGCCTGAAGAATATTTCCGGAAGTTGTAAGACGCCTTGCGAGCTTGTAATATTGTCAAAAGAAAGGGAAGCCCACCTCACTTCCGTGCTTAACCATCTTCCGAACACTGGTGAAGATGAGAGATGTCTTTGAATTGTATAATTTGAATGTCTCCATCCGTCTGCACTTTTTAATATCAAAAGAAAAAAAGATTCCCATCGCATGGATTGACTTTGCACGACACAAGAACCCACTGGGAGTAATCAGCCAGAGGAGGTCGCTGAGATGTTGAAATCTGGAATACCTTGTGCAGCTTGGCTTATTCCAGGGCAGCAAACTAGCCGGATGACCTTGGATTGTTAAAGACCTGCTTGGATCCATGCTGGGGTGTCAGATCATCTGAACCCAGGGGATTGATTTCACTGGGGGGGTGGGGGGATTGAGCTGAGCTGTTTGGCAGGAGCAGCAAAAATTCCAGTCGCCTTTTGCCATCTTGTTCATGCCACTGCGAGCGGCAGCTCCTTCGCCAGCGCCGGGGGGCTAGGATCCACCGATTCCTGGTGGATAACTGATCACCGGCCACCCTTTTAAAAAATGGTTCCGCTGCAGAAAATTGCACGGACGTATTTGTGGTTTTCCCAGTCTTTCACAAGCGTGCAAGTGCGTGCTTACAGCTATCCTGTGCGCGTTCTTGGCTTGTCAATTTCCTCTGTCAAAAGAAGCCCCAGAGTAGAATAAGCAATATACGTGAAAATTAACGAGGTAAAACCTGTGCCAGGCAACACAGGTTGGACAGCCGGAAGAGCGGATTTGCAAAGGACTGACGCAAGAGAAAAATTACGGACGCGACTTCACAACGTTTTGGGTCTGAAAGAAAAAGGGCAGTCTCCATTGTGTATTTTTTTGTATCCAGAAGTGAAAACAAAACAGAGGTGAACACAAAGTTGTCATGATCAGAGTGTGGAAGGAGAAACAAGACAGATTTTGCTCTGAAGGACAGGGGAATATTGTCCAGGGAACTGAGAGGGGCGGGGGCGGGGGAGGAGAAGCCTGGTTCACAGGGTTGTGTTGAGCGAATGTAGCCACTATATTTTTTGCTGTTAGTTTTTCATGTTTAATGTTATACACTGAACGACTTTAATGGCTGGCAGTGCATGATTAGATAGAAAAAGTTTTGAAAAAGACGAAAAAAATGCCAACTGTCTGTTGTGGGGCTTTTGCCTGCCTGCATTTATTGACTTTTATAAGTCACATTAGAACTCTTTGGAGATACCGGAGAAAATGGTTTAAAAGTGAACATAAATGCAAAATCAGAGTAAAGAGACGCAACATAAGAATCGCATAATATTGTCTCGCTTTGTGCTGGCTGCAGAATTATGCCTTGTTTTAGCTGGGTGCAGAATTTGGCTGGGCTTGGCACAGGTTTTTAAATCGAAATTGGCATCCTGTTGGTGATTATATCTTATTGTTTTGTCATCCCCTGTAGATCCAGGATATCAGTGTCGAGACAGAGGACAATAAAGAGAAAAAATCTGCAAAGGATGCATTATTACTGTGGTGCCAGATGAAAACAGCTGGGTAAGGTGAAATTTGGAGCATTGGGGACTCACCTGTCGCTAGTTTCTGCCCCCCCCCCCCATGAGGCCTAATCCTGCCCAACTGGGTGGGACACAACCCAGATTCTCCTGTTTTGTTTTCCACCATGTCAGGGATCGATGTTGCTAGAAGCCAGGAGCTAGAAGAAAGGCAGCCACGAAAGGCACTCTGTACATGTTCAGAAGCTCAATTGCTAATGGCCAAGCATCTCACACTAGGGCAGAGCTTCCCAACCTTTTGGACCCAGAGGCACATTTAAGACTTAGCCAAACTGTGGGAATCTCATAAAATGCTGAGATTGCTGTCACATCTCTGCCTCTTATTTGCCTCTTATTGAAGGAAAACGTTTGTTTTATGTTTATGGGGCACTGCAGTTCTTCTTTTTAATAAGGGATTGAGTGATTGGCAGTGATGCCATATAGTTGATGCGTCCTCCCTCGCAGGGTTGTTGTGAAGATAAATAGGACAAGGATTATGTAAAGTGTCTTGGAATTTTTGCAGGAAAAAGATAATATCTGAATAATATCTTTGTACTTGAGCAGTCTTCAATTTGTACGAATGGACCTGTTCTTCTAAATTAACTTTCTCATGGAAATTAAGTGCAAGGATACGTAAATGGATTCCCTTTTGACACGTAAATGACCGATAATTTTAGAAAATTAAGACCGACATTGGAAGGATAAACATTCGTAGCTTATAAGACAGTGGAATGAAGCTTTTCAAACACTTTTAATGTATGAATGGGTGGCTTGTAGCTACCAACTTCAAAGAGATATTTCTTCGGATATGTGGTCCACTTCTGGGGAAACTTATTTATAATTGCTAGAAATGTGTGTGTGTTTCATACAAATCCATGTATGCATCTTTTCAAAACATGGAGACAATTTAAAAAATGAGGCACCCGTGGGCACCACACGTTGGGGAACTCGCACAGGTACCTCTCTGGCTTGGGGGTCCCTGGAGTAAGACCTGTTTGGGCCATTTTTTGTAGTTTTTCAGAGATGACAAAACACTCTTGCTCTGTGTCCAACAGTACGGATTAGTATTGCTATGGATTAGTGCTACCTGATTCACCCCTTACTGATAAATCAAAATTGATCTTGCACCGAATCCATTGTATTGGAGCATCTGTTCTGGTCCCTTCCCTACAATCCTTTTCTGTTTGCAGGTACCCGAATGTAAACATCCACAACTTTACCACCAGCTGGCGGGACGGCCTGGCTTTCAATGCAATTGTACACAAACACAGGTCAGTGATTGAATAGTTTTAGCCTCTGGACTGACAGCTTTATGAGGCCTCGTCTTGATGGCAGTGGGCCTTGCTTTAGCTGATAGTGCTTATTCACTTACTTCAAAATATATGAAGCAATCCCGTCTGCTTTTGCAGCCCCTTGAGCATTTCTCATAAATGCCCGGTCATGAGGACTAGAAACTTGGCTTTACAAAAGTAGAATGGGGTGCCAGAAAATGGGCAGTGCCGCTTTTGGTTGCTTTTCTGCCACTGAGGGCATCGCAGGATACACACGACCCTGCCTGTGTCTCCCCGTCTCTGCTCAGCCACGTTGGGTTTTCCGGTCTCCTCCTTGTGGGTCGGCACTTTGTGCAGTTGTGTCAGGCGTGGCTTCAGTGCTGAATAAACGCCGTGCAGCAGAAGCAGCTTTGCTCCTCGTGCCCATTGTTTGGAGAGAATTCTATTTTTCATTTTATGGAAACGAGAGACTCTGGGGCTATCAGGCGAAGGTGGCTGGAACGCGCTTAGGACAGGCCAAACGATAAAAGAAAAGGGGAGGGGAGATGGGACCCCTTGCTGGGAGATGCTGTAGTTTTGCCAGAGGGTTTACTGTGGATGCGGAGAACATCGGTCTGTCTGTGGCTATTGCCCACGACTGCCGTGCACAGAAGAGTCAGGGCTCAAAGGCAGGGAAACCCTCTGCTTGCAAGCTTCTGGATGCAGTCGGCTGTCCGTCGTCGGTAACACAGCACTAGGCCGTTCAGACCTGTGATTCTGACCCAGCCGGGCAAGTCTTACATTCCTGGGGTGTGTCCATTTTCACTTTTTCCTTTGCAACAGGCCAGACCTGATAGACATCGATAACCTGAAGAAATGCAACGCCCACTACAACCTTCAGAATGCCTTCAACATTGCCGAAAAGGAACTGGGCCTCACCAAGCTCCTGGACCCGGAAGGTGGGTTCTGCCGGTGCCGGCTGGTGTCTGCTGGGCCCGACGGGGCGCAGGGCAGGGCAGCAAAGCATAATTCCCAAGGAAGGAGTCACCGCAGGCAGGACCATGGGGTTCTCTCCAGAGCAGGGGCCCATTGCACAGGATGGGCAGACTGAGGCATGCGGGTTAACCTCAGAGCAAAGGGAGGAACACAACGATCGGGAGAGGTTCTCGACCGTGAATGCTAAGACGAAAGAGGGAGGGTGGGGAAGAAAGACTTTAAAATTGTGTGTGATGGGGAATTGGGGCAAAACACAAGATTTGGGGGACTCCTGCCACGTCTCGCAGATCTTAGAGTCGTTCTCTCGTTCCTGGAACACCATTTAAAAAATAAAGAGGAAGAAAAGAACAAAATGCAAGAGATAGGAAGAAAAAGGACGGACGGACGGACGGACAGATGGTTACATCTGGAGCTCTGGCTTCCTCCTTGCCCTGTGTGGCATGTGGGGGAATCCAGGCGTTTCCCCTCGAGCAAACGGGCTCGGTCTTCCCCCAGTTCCCCCAGCCTCTCCCACATCTCCCCTCCTCCTGCTGCTCCCTAGATGTGAACGTGGACCAGCCGGATGAGAAGTCCATCATCACTTACGTGGCGACGTATTACCACTACTTCTCCAAGATGAAGGCGTTAGCCGTGGAAGGGAAGCGCATCGGGAAGGTACCTCGGGCCGAACGGAGGCCTTGAGGGAGGGTGGTGCTGGGACGCGCTTCCATCCAGATGTCGCCGGGCGTGTGTGGGGGGGGGGGCGGGCAGAAACGAAGCTGGGCCGTTGGGGGAGACGAGGCGCCGTTTTGTCGGCGTGAGCGGGGGCTTCAAGGCGTGCAAACTACCTGGGAATCGCCGGGGAAAAACCTCCAAGACGCCTCGGGAAGGGACTGCAGCCAAGTTTCAAGCCTGCGGGCTCTTCCTGGCCTGCGAAGAGGCCGGCTGTGTGCGCCTCCGTGCTGGCCAGGGAGGGAGGGAGCCCGGCGGCTGGCAAAGGGGAGACGGGGGAATTTGTCCCTGGCTGGGTCACGTGGTGGAGCTCCGGCCTCGGGCTGGGAGCGGCACAGCGGCCCCAGGCCGGCGGCCCTTTCGCGGGGGGCCCAGCGCCCGCGGTGACGCGGTTCCCCCGGCAGGTGCTGGACTACGCCATCGAGGCGGACAAGCTCATCGAGAAGTACGAGACGCTGGCCTCCGACCTCCTGCAGTGGATCGAGCAAACCATCCTGACGCTGAACGACCGGAAGCTGGCCAACTGCCTGAGCGGGGTGCAGAATCAGCTGCAGGCCTTCAACACCTACCGCACCGTGGAAAAGCCCCCCAAGTACGTCGGGCCGCCCTGAGCCCATTGCTGAGGGGGCCCGGAGGGGGCTTTCTTTCACACCCTCCGGCGCCCGTGCGGAAGGGGGCAGAATAATTCCGCTTCCTTTGGATGCACTGCAGGGCTTACGGTGTTTAAACGGGACTTGGAAAAGCCCCCGTTCGAGACCTCCCTTGGCCGTGAAGTTGCTGAGTGTCTCATCCTAGCCTCCCTCACAGGGTTGTTGTGAGGATGAATGGGAGAGGAGGGGCGTGTGCGTTGCTTTGGGCTTCTTGCAAGCAATAGGACAACTTAAAATTTAATAAATGCACCTGTCTGAGTTTGTACTTCCTAAAACAAGTCAGCTAACTTCAAAATTGGAGCTTCTCAGAGTTTTTCAGAAACAACACAGACCAACCATGTGTATCAAGGAAAATAGCATTCAGAAATTAGGATGCAAGGACACGGGCTTGTAAAAATGTGCTCATGGGCAAAACGCCTCATGTCTATATTGGGCACGATGACGGATCGGTAACTGCTGTGAAATTTCTGCTCATCGTGCATTTAAAAATAGACAAAATGAAGTCAAGCAGGATGCTTAGGGTGTCCCCATTTTATTTATTTATTTTTGTTTAAAACGTTTCTGTGCCGCCCCATCGCAACAACGCCTCCCGCTGGATCCAGCCTTTTCGCACTCCCAGTCTCTCCAAATGTCCACTTTTGCTCTTGGCCTGAGCTTTCCCCTCGTTTTTCTCTTATCATTCCATTCCCAGGTTCACAGAGAAGGGCAACCTTGAAGTTCTGCTTTTCACCATCCAAAGCAAAATGAGGGCTAACAACCAGAAGGTTTACACACCCCGGGAAGGGCGACTCATCTCCGACATTAACAAGGCAAGACCCCATCGGCCCTCTCCCCTCCGAAACATGCTTGGGTAGATTCTGGCGCACCTCCTGTTCTAACTTCCTACAACCACTGCGATTCTAATTCTAAAGGAAAGAAAAATACGCTGTGCGTTGAGCAGAATAGCTTTTAGAAATTCAGTGCGCACTCGTGGACATGTTTGGACAGAAAAGCACATTAAAACCGTTCAGAGAATGATTTGGCTGATTGTGGATGGTATATAAAAGTTTTAATAAAATAAAATAAAATAGAGAAGAAGTTCCACAGTTCCCTCTGGCCGTGGGAATGCTGGGGATCACAGGAATTTTTCTGCAGACGCAGAGTTGTGTCCCGGGGGGCTCTTTTCGGAGGGGGAGAGTTGGTGGCCAGCTTGTTCTTTCCCTTCTCTGTCCCCAGGGCTGGGAGAGGCTGGAGAAAGCCGAGCACGAGCGGGAGCTGGCGCTGCGCAACGAGCTGATCCGGCAGGAGAAGCTGGAGCAGCTGGCCGCCCGCTTCGACCGCAAAGCGGCCATGCGTGAGACCTGGCTGAGCGAGAACCAGCGCCTCGTCTCCCAGGTGGGTTCTGCGCAGAGGCGGGGGGAGCCTGTGTGCAAGGCAGGGCCGCCCCTCCTGTGGGTCACCGGCAGCCATTCCTGGCAACACTGTGAGGGGCAATCAGGCCCATTCCACCAGCTCCGTTGAAAGGGGGCGTTTTTACTCCTCTTCCCTCCTCATCCCTTTTCCTTGCATGTCGTGCCTTTTCAGTTTGTAAACCTTTGCCGACAGGGACTCTGGCTTTATGCGGGCCACTCTAGGAGCTTTTTTTGATAAGGTGCAGAATAAAAATGCATAAATATTGCGGCAACTTCAGATGGAAGCACAGTGAGCCCCGTAGCTTAGACATTCATTCATTCATTCATTCATTCATAGCATTTATTTATTTATTTATTTGATTTATATCCTGCCTTTTTCCTGCAAAGGGCACAAGGCAGCTTACATCTCCTCCTTCATCTTATCCCCACAACAACAAATCTGTGAGGCAGGCTGGGCTGAGAGCCTGTGACTGGCCCAGAGTCACCCAGTGGGCTCCATGGCTGAGTGGGGACTCGACCCCGGATCATCTGAGTCCCAGTCCCAAGTTCTTAACCACTGCACCACGCTGCCTCTCTCACCCCACAGTGACCTGTGCTTTCACCTCTGTGCTGCTTTCCCCTTCCTTGCTCCCATTCTTTGGGCCTTTGCGTGCATCCAGACAGGACCCAAGCAGAGGCAAGCCGGCGGAGTCACCCCCCGTTGGCTCCACGGCTGAGCGGGGACTCGACCCCGGACCGCCTGAGTCCCAGTCCCGCGCTCTTCACCACCACACCACACTGGCACACAGTCCCTATACTAGCATCTCGGGCTGGTTTTACAACAAGTAAAACAGAAATCAAAATAGCACGGCGTGCGGTGTAAAACACATTAAAACCCATTAAACATTAAAAGAACCGGATAATTAAAAGGCTTTCTTAAATCAAGGATGGGGCCTGTCATCAGTGCTGGAACGATTGCCCATCTCGCCCCCGTCATGGGAGGGCGAGGCAGGGGGGGTCAGCGTGTGCCTTAAGGGGGAACTGGAGCCCAGCTCCCAGCCGCACCGCAGCCCGGCGTCCTTCAACCAACTCCTTAATTTAATTGCACTCCTTAAAGACCCCCGACTCATAGGATCTGCGCAGGGCGGTGGCATTTGCCGCGGGAGGGAATGACCGCCGTCTGTCCGCCTCCACGGCCCGCAGGACAACTTCGGGTCGGACATGTCGGCGGTGGAGGCCGCCGTGCGGAAGCACGAGGCCATCGAGACAGACATCGTGGCCTACAGCGAGCGGGTGGCCGCCGTCACCGCCGTGGCGGCCGAGCTGGAGGCCGAGGGCTACCACGACCTCAAGCGGGTGCTGGCGCGGAAGAACAACGTGGCCCGGCTTTGGGATTACCTGTGGGAGCTGGTGGCGGCCCGCCGCGAGCACCTGAGGCTGCACCTGGAGCTGCAGAAGATGCTGCAGGACCTTGCCTACCTCATGGACTGGCTGGAGGAGATGAAGGTATGGCCGGGGGGGTGGGGGCGGCATCCACGCCAGGTGCGGAAGCCGTGCGAGCCGAGCAGAGCTGCACGTGACGCCCGGGCAGCGGGCCTGAGGCATGCTCGCTGCCTGCCTGCCTGCCTCCTCTGGGGTCGTGGCAGATGGGCTTCCGAGTAGCTATGCTCCCTTCCCTTTCGAGGGACAGTTCTGCTCCTCCGCGGCTTGGTGCAGACGACGGAAGGGGAACCTTCTCACCCGGGAGAAGGCGTTCCGTCCGTTTCCGGTGAGGGCAGGGAGGGAAAGGATGCTGCGGAGAGAATGTGCCCGAAGGAGGTCCCCGCGGACTTTGGGGTCTGGTCCCACCTTCCCCGGCAGGGCGCCTCCGACAGGCTGCAGTGCAGCTTGAAGCAGGGGGCCCGTTTTGCACAGGGGTGTCCTCTCCCGGTTGCGTCCGGAGCAGAGCTGCGGAAGATTCGCTGGCCTCGGCGTTGGTCCGGGGGACAGTTCTGCTGGGCTGGAGAAGCAGGGGTGGCCGAGCCTGACCCGCTTCCGTCCCCGCTCCCTGTGCCGCTTTTCCACAGGGCCGCCTCCAGTCTCAGGACTTCGGGAAGCATTTGCACAGCGTGGAGGACCTTCTGCAGATCCACGCGCTGGTGGAGGCCGACATCGCGATCCAGGCCAAGCGGGTGAAAGCCATCAGCACGGCCGCCCAGCGCTTTGCAGTGCCTGGAGAGGGTGAGGCCCGCCTCCCTGGGGCTTCAGGAGGGGGGGGAGCGCCCCTTAGTCCCCCTCCGGTCCCATTCTGGCCTCTCCCCTTCGCCTTTCCTTTGAGGATTTTAAGTGGTTCGCAGCAGCTCTGTGCAAGATGTGATTTGGCAGGCCGGCCTGCAGATCCGACCGAGCGCCTGGCTGCCTTCGCTTCCCCTTCCGTGTCTCTCCTTTGGGGAAGCAGAAAAAGGGGCACCACACTTCCGGGCACCGGCTGAGCGCACGTGACTCGGGACTCCACTCAGGGAATCCCTTTGTTATCCGCGATAAAAATAGGCGATAACAAGAAGGTCCTTCTGCCCCCCCCCCCCCCCCGGTCACCTCCAGGTGGGGCGAAGCTTGCAAAGGAGGGTGGGCTTGGGGAGCAAAGTCTGAGCAGCCTTTTAAGGGTCTCTGACGATGCTGATGGCGACTGCCGTGTCCAGACCTAGTCTGGTCTGAAATCACAGCGAAGGGCAGTCCCCAGATGTGTCCTTTAGGTGTGGCTGGAAAGGGTTTGGCTCTGCTCAGCCTCAGGTCAAGTCCAGAAAGAGCCGGGGAGCCGATCCTCCAGACGCGCGTGCTGCTACCGTGGTCTCCTTTGCCGTCCGCAGGGTACAAGCCCTGCGATCCCCAGCTGGTCCAGGAACGGGTGGAAACTCTCGACCGGTGCTACCGGGAGCTGGTGGCGCTGGCGGCAGAGCGGCGTGCCAAGCTGGAGGAGTCGCGCCGCCTCTGGAAGTTCTTCTGGGACATGGGCGAGGAGGAGGCCTGGATCCGGGAGCAGAGCCAGATCATCTCCTCGGACGACTTCGGCAAGGACCTGACCAGCGTCCTGCGCCTGACCAGCAAGCACAACGCCTTCTGCGACGAGATGAGCGGCCGCGCCGGCCCGCTGCAGCAAAGCATCGCCGAAGGCCGGCAGCTGGTCGCCGAGGGCCACTTCGGTGCCGCCGAGGTAGCCGAGCGCATCCGGGAGATCGAGGACCAGTGGGAGCACCTGCAGGCCCTCTCGAGCGAGCGGGAGCAGGGCCTCCTGCAGGCCTCCAACCTCTACCAGTTCCAAGCGGACACGAACGACATGGAGGCCTGGCTGCTGGACGTGCTCCGCCTGGTGTCGAGCTCCGAGGTGGGCCACGACGAATACTCCACCCAGAGCCTGGTGAGGAAGCACAAGGACGTGGAGGAGGAGGTGCACAGCCACCGGCCTGTGCTGGATGCCCTGCACGAGCAGGCCCGCAGCCTGCCGGCCGCCTTCGCCCGCTGCCCCGAGGTGGACGGGCGCCTGCCTGCGCTGGAGCAGCGCTACGAGGAGCTGGTGACGCTGGCCGAGCACCGCAAGAGAGCCCTGCAGGACGCCCTCAACCTCTACAAGATGTTCAGCGAGGCGGATGCGTGCGGGCTCTGGATTGGCGAGCGGGAGTACTGGATCGAGACGATGGACGTCCCGGAGAAGCTGGAGGACCTCGAAGTCGTCCAGCAGAGGTGAGCGGATCAGCCCGCTTTCTGTCGTGACCCACGAGAGAGAGGGTCTTAAGGAAGTACTTCATTGGATGCCTTGTTTCCCAAAGAGAGAGAGTCATGTCGTATTTTCAACACCGTTCTGTATTGCATGTTTCTGAGCTGCCTCTGGAACCATTTAAACACGTCTTAATTTTTGTTAAACGTCAGAACGGTTTGGAAACTCTGTATAAAGAAGCAACTTTAAAACGGCACAAAGAGAAGAGTTTGCGCAGAGGGGAGAGTCTTAAAAGGGTTTCCCAGGCAGGACAGGAAGCCTCTGACTTCCGGCAGAGAACTTGAACGGGGAAGGATCGGGGTGACTTCCGCGAGGATACCGTCCCATGGGGGACGGGCCCCTGTTTCAGGGACAGACTGTCCTGAATGCAGCGCCATCCCTCCTCTGGCATGGCGAGGCCTTTCTGAGCCGGCTTCCCTCGATTTCTGCCTCATCCCAGGTTTGAGACCCTGGAGCCGGAGATGAACAACTTGGCCTCTCGCATCGCGGCCGTGAACGAGATTGCGAGTCGGCTCCTGGGCACGGACCACAGGAACAAGGAGAGCATCCGGGCGACGCAGGAGCAGCTCAACACCAGGTGGGGCTCGGAGGGGAGTGTGGGTGCAGGGGGTCCGGTGGGACGGGGAAGAAGGTCTGCCGCAGAGAGGCAGGCCGAGATCTCTTCTCGCTCCTCCTGGAGGGCAGGGCACAGAATAATCAGTTCAAGTTACAGCAACCCAGAGTCAGGCTGGACATCAGGAAAAGCTTCCTCACTGTCAGAGCGATAGGACAGTGGGACCGGCTGCCCGGAGAGGTGGGGGGCTCTCCCACACCGGAGGCATTCAAAGGGAAACTGGGCAGCCACCTGAGTGGGATGGTGTGAACTGGTGTCCTGCAACAGCAGGGGGTGGACCCAGTGGCCTTCGTGGCCCCTTCCAACTCCACGATTCCACGATTCTAAGGTCAGGCAGTCTGAGGACCAGAGCAGGGGAAAGCGGAGCCCCTTCCTTCGAGGTCTGCGGAAAATAGTTTCTCTTTCGAGCAGCAAGTGGGGTGCTCTGATCGGAGTTTTGGAGGAGTTCTCGGGGTCCCTTTCTGGTGGCGGGAGGGGCAGGGATGCATTTTTGAGGGTGTTGCTCTGCCTGCCTGCCACCAGGCCGTAGCAAGGTGGAAAAGCACACACCAGCTGGGAAACCCACCAGACTCTTGGTGCCTGGGGGAAAGGGAGGGAAGGGGGCGTAGCCACCCCTGCAAGGCCAGGGGGCTGGCTTCAGCTCCTGGTTCTGGGGTGCCCCGTCCCTGCCTGAAAGCCCGTGCATTTCCCCTTCATGCAAAAAAGCGGGCGCGCAGCCACAGGGATGTTAAACAGGATCCGGGTCTCCCCACTCGGCTCGCAGGTGGCAGCAGTTCCAGGCCCTGGCCAGCCGCAAGAGGGAGGCCCTGACGTCGGTGCTCAGCATCCAGAACTACTACCTGGAGTGCAACGAGACCAAGGCCTGGATGCGGGAGAAGACCAAGGTGATCGAGTCCACCCAGGGCCTGGGCAACGACCTGGCCGGCGTGATGGCTCTGCAGCGGAAGCTGGCGGGCATGGAGCGGGACCTGGAGGCCATCCAGGGCAAGGTGCAGGACCTGCGGGAGGAGGCGGCCCGGCTGGCAGCCCAGCACCCGGAGCAGGCCCCGGCCATCCTGGCCTGCCTGTCCGAGGTCGACGGCACCTGGGGCGAGCTGCGGGGGACCATGCGGCGCCGCGAGGAGTCGCTGGGCGAGGCCAGCAAGCTGCAGGGCTTCCTGCGCGACCTGGACGACTTCCAGGCCTGGCTGCTGCGCACCCAGACAGCCGTGGCCTCGGAGGACGTCCCCGCCACCCTGCCGGAGGCCGAGCACCTGCTGAGCCAGCACGAGACCATCCGCAACGAGGTGGAGCACTACCGGGGCGACTACCGGCGGCTGCAGGCCATGGGCGAGGAGGTGACGCAGGGCCACACCGACGCACAGCACATGTTCCTGCAGCAGCGCCTCCAGGCGCTCGACACCGGCTGGAGCGAGCTCAGCCAGATGTGGGAGAACCGGCACCAGCTGCTCTCGCGGGCCTACAGCTTCCAGGTCTTCCTGAGGGACACCAAGCAAGTGGAGGGGGTGCTCAGCAACCAGGTAACGCACGGAGGGGGGGGCGTCGCCACGGGCCCCTCCTTTTGCACCCAGTGGCCTCGGCCAACCTGGCCGAGGGTCAGGAATGCTGGGGGTTGTAGTCCTCCGCCGGACTGAGCTTTTGTCCCGGGCTTGCCGTCAGCCTAAAAGCTTGTCACCGGTCCGCCCACAAAGGTCGGGGAAGCGCGCCGTGTTTGCCGGCTTTCAAAAGAGAAAACTCTAATCTTTCCAAAAATCATTTGTAAAAAGATAATTAGAGGTGCAAGAAAACCAGATGTTGTCTTGGGAAGACTTATTTCGAGAGCTGTGCTGGCTGCCAACCCTTGATTCCTTTCGACCTATTTATTTGCCCAGCCTTTTAACGGTTCTGATGTTTTTACTGCATGTCTTTAGATGCGCTTGACGTTAGGGTTCCCGTGCTGCTGTGGATCCAGCCGTTCTGTTTTATTCTCTGCACGCCGTCTGCAGAGATCCTCACTGGATATACGCTGGGAAACAGACGTTTTCGATCAGTTGGTCAATCGACGCTGTCTCCCCTGCAGGAGTACGTGCTGACCCATACAAGCATGCCCGGATCCCTCCAAGCAGCCGAGGCGGCCATCAAAAAGCACGAGGACTTCATGGCCACCATGGAAGCCAACGGAGAGCGGATCAAGGGGCTCGTGGACTCTGGGAGGAAGCTGATCCTGGAGGACGGCCTCCACGCAGACAAGATCCAGGAGAAAGTCAATTCCATCGACAGCCGGTGAGCGAGGGAGCGAACGCCGCCTGGAAGTGCTGGATCCATCCTTGGGAGGGAAGCCGTGCAGGGAGCTGGACGGAGGCAGGCCAGGATTGGCACGTGGGCTGAGAGTCCGCGACCGGCCCCGAGTCACCCCGTGACTCTCATGGCCGAGTGAGGACTAGGAACTTGTCCTCCTGAGTCCTGGTTCAAGACCTGCTCATCTTTATTTGCGCCCCGCCTTTTCCCGCTGTTGGGACGCCAGGCAGCCGGCGGCATCAAAACGCGCTTACAGGTCAACCCTCCCTAGAAATATGCAGAAGCTGAACACGAACTGTCCCTCTCGTTCAGGCACAGGAAAAACCAGGAAGCAGCCCAGGATCTCCTGGCCCGGCTTCGCGACAATCGGGAGCTACAACACTTTTTGCAGGACTGCCAAGAGGTGAGCCGGGGCGGCGGAGGATGAGGGCAGAGGTGCCAGCTTCCTTGGTGGGCAACAAAGCGGGAGCAGGCCCTGCGATAAAATGTTGCAGCGTGGAGAACTCCCTCACCGCTCCTGCCAGCCGTCTCCATCTTCCTTTTGAATTCTTGTACCACCTAGTTTTCCATGTGGCTTCTCCCTCCCCTCCAAAAGTCCAGCAGTCTGTGGCCACCGTGTGCACTTCACTGGGCTTTTTTTTTGGGGGGGGGAGTTTTCTTTTATGGGGGTGGAACTGTTTGGGATTCATACCCAACAATATTATTCATGGTCCAAAACCTGGAGAAAGAAGGATATTTGAGGTTCTAGGATGGAAGGTGCAGGTGCGAAATTGCAGATGCAGCGTGGCATTGGGGTGGGGGTCCCGGCACACCCCCAGCTCTTTTGTTTCCACCCCCTCCCTTCGTGTGCCTTGCCTTTCTAGTTTCTCGCAGGGGCTCTTTCCAGTTTTGACACTTTGCTACAAGGGGTGTGCGATTCTGCACTTGTCATTCCTGCTCCTTTTCTTGCCAGTTTTTTTAGGCAGCATTGGAACTGTCCAGTTTCAGTCCTGTGGCTAAGGAGTGCTTTGGGCAAGAAAGTTGCGAGCAGAGAAAATACAGTATTGTATTGTTAACAAACAAAACATCCTTTTTTCCACTTGCGTAATCTTGTTATTCTCCAGCCCCAACAGTGCCACCTAAAGGTTTTGTTGTGGAATAGCAGGTCATTTTCCCCAGCTCAGTGCTGAGACAAACCTGCCGCCGTCGGCCAGAGCAGGTGCATAGCCTTGTTTAGAGGCGGTCTCGGCACGAGGCAGTTTGGGAGGCGAGAGTGATCGGCAAAGCAGGATGAAAAAGCAGCAAGAGAATTAGGAAAGCACACCCTCGGGGACCTGAGGGTTCGGTGCTAGGATTGTGCTGTGCTCTCGCTTCCTCCGCCAGCTCACACTGTGGATCAACGAGAAGATGCTCTCGGCTCAGGACATGTCCTACGACGAAGCCCGGAACCTGCACACGAAATGGCAGAAGCACCAGGCCTTCATGGCGGAGCTGGCCTCCAACAAGGGCTGGCTGGAGAAGATTCGGAAGGTGGGTGCCGTCCGGAAGACTCTGCCCTCCCTTTCCTTCCACAGATCTCTGCACTGGAGCCTTAAATCGTGCCTGGAACAACAGCATCTTCTCTGGACGGTCCGCTGAGCGATGCTGCAAGCTGCCCTTTGCACGTTCTCAAGGAGGCTCGTTCCTTCCTTAATAAGAGAGTTGCTGCGGCGTGAGCTAGCTTTGCAGATGGAGAGCCCTGCTTCTGGATCCCAGAGGGGGCCGTGGGCTCTTCCATGGCAAGGCAAACACGTTGCACATGCTCAGAGGCACTCCCGTCTGCCGCAGTGAATGAGACTGCCACGACATGGGGCAGGACTGAATTGCAGTTTTAATAAATAGTAAGAATGATGATAATAAGCATATATGTAGTACTTAAGGAGAAGACTGTAGCAAGCGGTGGAGCCAAAATTCCCTGGGCCCATTGGCAGGTAAGGCCCTGCCTGAAACCTCAGAGAGCTGTGGCTGCCAGTCAGTGTCGGCACTATGGGGCTAGACGGATCCCTGGCCCGCTGTGGTTCTGACGTAGCATCTGGAGGACTTAATGGTCTGGAGGGAGAAGCATTCTCTTCTGGCCTTGGGCACCTTCCAGGGAGGGGACGTAGCTCGGAAAGAGTGCTGGTCTGCGGGGCTGGACTCCTGGCGACTCCAGTGTAAGAGGGCTTGGGAGCAGGCGATGCGGAAGGACCCCTTTCTGCTGGAATCCCTGGAAGATGTTGGCGAGATGATCCCGGCTGCCGGAAGGCAGCTTTTTGCGTCTCTGGCCACGGAGGGATCGCAGAAGCCTCTAGCGGAGTCTCATGCTCAGGCCGAAGACCCCGGCGTCTCCATGTAGGGCTAGGAGAGAGCTTTGCCTGGGGACCTGAGGAGGAACTGCCGCTGCCAGTCCGTGCCGGCAAGCCTGGGAGGCTGCTACGCTCACAGCAGGCAGCTTGTCCGTTCCCCTTGCTGCCGGCCTGGACAGCCTTCCGAGGCCTTCCAGGCCTTCGGGGTCCCAGGGCACGTGACCCGTGAACGTGGCCGGCTGGAGGACAGGCCGGAGGGCTTCCCGCGGCCTGCGGCGCAGCTTGCGAGGGCCGCGTCCCATGTGGTCTTTCCGGCAGGAGGGGGAGCAGCTGGTGGCCGAGAAGCCAGAGCTGGAGTCCGTGGTGCAGGCCAAGCTGGGCAGCCTGCAGGAGCTGTGGCAGGAGCTGGAGTCCCGGACCCAGAGCAAGGCGCAGTGCCTCTTCGACGCCCACCGGGCCGAGCTGTTCACGCAGAGCTGCTCCGCGCTGGAGGCCTGGCTGAGCGGCCTGCAGGTCCAGCTGCACTCGGACGACTATGGCAAGGACCTCACCAGCGTCAACATCTTGCTCAAGAAGCAGCAGGTGGGTCCCGGGGGGTGTGGGTCCGGTGTGCGGCAAGGGGAGAGCCCTCGCCCCACGGGGAAGGTGGCACCCCGGCGAGGGGCGGCTGGTACAGGGTGCTGTGCCGAAGGGAGCCTTCCCGGGCACCCTCTGTAGTGCCGACACACCCCTGGGGGGCTCCTCCGGTCCCGCTCACTCCGGTCCCCCCACCTTGCCTCGCAGATGCTCGAAAACCAGATGGATCTGCGGGAGAAAGAGGTGGAAGGTCTCAAGGCCCAGGCGCTGGCTCTGAGCCAGGAGGACTCCAACACCGTGGAGGTGGACGGCAAGCTGCGGACGGTGGAGGAGAGGTTCGTGGAGCTGCGGGCGCCGCTGCGGGAGCGCTGCGAGAAGCTGCTGGCCTCCAAGGAGGAGCACCAGTTCCACCGGGACCTGGAGGATGAAATCGTGAGTGGCCGGCGAGCGGGATGATGGGAATGGAGGGGATGATGGAGGAGGAGATCTTTTCTGCAGGCACCACACACAACTTGGATTTGGCGTGGCAGGGACTGTGTACTTGGCGGCCAGATCTGAAATTGAACACAAAGTTGAAACCCGCTAGCGCTCCCAAGAGTTCACGGACTCAGTCTCGGCTCAGCTCACTTTCTACGCTGGGCCAAGAAGTCTGGTGTGCTGGATCCCAGGGGCCCTCTGGATGGGGAGGAACTCCAACACAACCGTCACTTCAGCAACACAGCTCCTCCCCCTGGAGTGTGGGCTATCCTGTTATCCAAACCCCGGGAGGATGTAGTTTTGAAAGGGTGGGGAAAATAGCTTTAAAAACTGGCAGGTTCGTAAGTAAAAAGGCACCTGGCTTATCTCAGCCTTCGTTTTCCCCTCGTCCTGCAGTTGTGGGTGAAGGAACGGATGCCCATGGCTGTTTGCACCGACCACGGCAAGGATCTTCCCACTGCCCAGCTGCTGATCAAGAAGAATCAGGTAATGCTTCGTGGGATTTGTTCTGAATGGGAAGCAGCCAGTTGGGGCTCTTTAACAGAACGACAACAGCCAGGCTTAGAGGAGCCGGTCAAAGAGTCGCGAAGAAGCTTCCCCTCGGTGGGGAAAACTTGTGCCCCCGAGCATAAACAACGGAAACTTCTGCGGCAGCACTGGGGGGTATTCTGTTGCAAAACATTGCAAGCCCGTGAATTCAGAAACTTGTGTTTCTCTTGGGTGAGGCTGGAGAAATCGTGGAGCAGCTCTTCCCTGCCCTGTCTGGTCTCTAGCGGAGCTTTTTTCTCAGGCTAGCTAGATTTTGGAGAGGGTCGGGGAGAGAGGAGAGAGGTGCTGGGACAGCCTTTGCCAATTTCCTTTGCCTTCACCTTCTGTGAGGCGGTCAGCTCTTCTCTCTTCCACATTTTCTGCGCAAGGGAGGGCGATGGAGGACAGAGTGTGGGCCCCTCAAAGCGTTGTCTAAAAATCTGAAGTATCCAGTTGTCTCTCAGATAATTGCTCAGAGCCCCCGGATAGATCGGATAAAGCTTTGCCCAACTTGGTGTCATGTATGTTTCCGTGACGTGGCAGATACAGTCCCTTTTTCTCTGTACGTTGGTGAAGATAAGAAAAAGCCACGCCGATGTTTGATCTGCCTCTGAGCATTCAAATGTGTGACGATCGCGCACTCTTCCCCAAACTGCACTTCCAGGCTGGGGGGGGGGTGAGAGAGAGAAATCCTTTAAAAATGGGGCAAGCTAGCAGTGCAGCGTGTCTTGCTGTGGTGGGTCCTGCGGTGCACATCCCGGATCAGCAGGCCCCCCGCGTCCTCTGTCTCTCGACACCAAGAGGCGGGGCGAGGAACCCTGGGACATGCGGTCGCAAAGGCGCTTCCCGGGGGACGGGGAGGCGCGGGTGCTTGTCCGCGTGCGCCGGGTCAGTGCCCGTTTCTCCCCCCGCAGACGCTGCAGAAGGAGATCCAGGGCCACCAGCCCCGCATCAACGACATCCTGGACCGGTGGCGCGGGCTGGGGTGCGGCGGCCTGGAGGCGGAACTGCAGGGCCGCGTGGAGGCCCTGCAGGAGATGTGGAAGGAGCTGCAGAACCAGGTCGAGAAGCGGCACGGGCGGCTGGAGCAAGCGCAGGCGGCGCAGCAGTTCTACTTCGATGCTGCCGAGGCGGAGGCGTGGATGGGCGAGCAGGAGCTGCACATGATCTCGGAGGAGAAAGCCAAGGTGGGAGGGAGCTGTGGATGGGGGGGGGGGGACGCACCCGGGCTGTACCTCCATCTCTCCGAAGTCATTTTACTGGCTCCTGCTTGCAGGACGGCTTATAAACTATCGCTTAAGACTGCCCCACAGTCATAGCATGTGAGGAAGAGGGGTGAGGAGGGCGGAGGAGAAACAAAACGTGCCGACGCGCTTGCTTCCCTGCATCTGGAAACTCACCTAGCGAGTTTCATGGCCCAGTGTGGACTACAACTCGGGTCTCCCAAGGCCCATTCGAGTGCTCTGACCACTTTGCCACGTGGGAGTTGGACCTACCTAGAAATGACTGTCTCTGTGATTGGAAAGCTCTGATACCTGAAGCCTAGTTACGCAGAGAAAAAGTACTCTGTACATGCCCTGAGGGATGCCTGTCATGGATGCTTTTCAGGACTTAATGTTGCCATGGAACTACAAGTTCTGGGCCGTCTCCTCCCTCCTCGTCACTCCTATTCTCCTTCCCTTCCCCAGGACGAACTGCTTGCACAAGCGATGGTGAAGAGGCATCTGGGGATGGAGCAGGCGCTGGAGGACTACGCCCAAGCCATCCACCAGCTCTCCATCCAGAGCCGCGACATGGTCAACAACGGGCACCCAGAGAGGTACGTGACCTCCTGCTTCCCACAATTCCGTGTCCTAAAAACACAGAATGGTAGAGTTGGACGGGGCCGTGAAGGCCATTTGGGGCTGCTCCACAGCCTGGAAAAAGGGTCTGAGGAGGGGGAGAAAGATTAACCTTGAAACGGGGTGGCGAACTCTTTCGGGCCGAGCTTGTGCCAAGCCCAAAGGAGACCCACTGGTCCGGCATCCGTGGCTGATGCCTGTGCCCTTCCCCCTTCCGGGCAGCGAGCGGATCGCCCTCCGGCAGGGCCAGGTCGACAAACTCTACGCCAGCTTGAAGGACTTGGCCGGGGAGCGCCGGGCACGGCTGCAGGAGCATCTCCGGCTCTGCCAGCTGAAGCGGGAGGTGGACGACCTGGAGCAGTGGATCTCTGAGCGGGAGGTGGTGGCCGCCTCTCACGAGCTCGGCCAGGATTACGAGCACGTCACGGTAAGCCTCCCCCTCTGGAGCCGTCCGGACCCTCCTCGGCACCCCACGGCCGGCCCGAAGCGATGGCGGCGCCCTGGCAATCCAACCCCTCCTTTGTGTTGTCGCTGAGATCACAGGAAGAGACCGCGTTCCGTCCGGAGCTCCCGTTCCCATGTTCCCCAGCAGCTGGTTTCTACTGGAGCCAGCACAGGGCCATCAGGACTTGCGGTCACGGACACCTTTAGTCTCCATGATGACTTTGTCCTTTAACGCCGCCTAAATCGGAGCCCATCCTTCCACCTTAGGGAAGCGAGTTCTACCGTTGAGCCTCTTATGTTCTGAAGATGCCCTTTTTATGTGTCCTTAATTGCCTGCCAATCAGCCCCGTGGGGTGACCCCTTTGGGATCCAAGTATCACCAAAGCGGGAGCAAAAAACCTCCACTCGCTCTACCCCGTGCATAATTCTGCACACTTCTATCCTCTCTCAAGTTACTTTTCCCCCTAAGTTAAACAGTTCCAGATATTGTAATCTTTCTTCATGGGGAGTTGTTCCAGTCCCCGATCTTTTTAATTAACTGTTTCTGCAGTCTTTCCACTTCTGCAATTTACTTTTTTAGATGTGATGCCCAGAAACTTTACACAAGTGCAAGCGCTCCAATTTGGACAACCTGACCTTGTCAGATTTCGTTTCCATTCCTTTCCTAATTTTGCCTAATATGGAGTTTGCCTTTTCCACAGTTACGGGGTTATTATCAAGCCCCCATGACATATTTGTCATTTTCAGGTACAATAAAAACATTAAACCTTCCCCAGTGACGCCCCATTTCCTTTTAGCTATCCCCTTTTCTCTTCCATACATCCTGTACTTAATAAGTAAAGGTTTGGGGTATAATAAGTGAAACCATTCAGCAAAAATGAGGAAATAAGTAGTTATAGAGAACATAAATCAATAAAATTAAAGGGTTGTGTTGCACATGGCTTTTCCACTGGCCTGCTCTGTCTTTGTTGGATCACATTTCTCCGCACGTCCTTCTCGAATATCTCCCCATAGGAAGTGGAATTCTCTTTTAGTCATTTGGCACGACGTACCTGTGCGGAAGTGCTGCTCACCTGATAGCTCTTGGGCTGACTGTGCATATTTGGGGTTTGACCGGATTGTTCAGAATGGGAGAAGCCAACGGGGGTTCTTCTGGGTTCACGCGGTTCGCTCTGCCACCGAGCCGCAGTCCCCGCTGTCCTGGGGAGGGGATGGGGCGCAGCCGCTTCTCCCGGGGCCTGCGTCCCACCCATTCTGACCCCCGTGGCACCCCCGCCGCTGCAGATGCTGCGCGACAAGTTCCGGGAGTTCTCGCGCGACACCAGCACCATCGGCCAGGAGCGCGTGGACGGCGTCAACCGGCTGGCGGACGAGATGATCTCCACCAGCCACTCCGAGAACGCCACCATCGCCGAGTGGAAGGACAGCCTGAACGAGGCCTGGGCGGACCTGCTGGAGCTGATCGACACCCGCAGCCAGATGCTGGCCGCCTCCTATGAGCTGCACCGCTTCTACCACGACGCCCGCGAGACCCTCAGCCAGGTCCAGAACAAGCAGAAGCAGCTGCCCGACGAGGTGGGCCGGGACCTCAACACGGCCGAGGCCATGCAGCGCATGCACAGCGCCTATGAGCACGACATCCAGGCGCTCAGCACCCAGGTACCCCGGCGGGCCGGGAGGGGCGGCTCTGGGGTCCTCTTCCAGCGGGCCGAGGCAGGGCGGGTGGGCCCGGGAAGGGGTGGCCCAGAGCGCCTTTCGGCCTGCAAAGAAGCCCCCGGAACAGGCGAGCGGTGGAGCCTCTTCCAACCTGCACGGCCAGCCTAGCCTGCAAGGTCACACGTCCTGGGAGGGAATGAGCGTAATTCAGAATTTTCAGGTATTTTATTGCGCAAACGCTGTTCCAGGCAGCTCCCCAAACACATTTTCAAAAGCCGAGATGTTTGTTCTTCGTAACGGCTGAGTACTAAGCCTGTTGCTCCGTGCCTGAGGCAGAGAGGGCTTTTCAGACCTCAAACTGTCCAAAACAATGCGCGGGACCTTGCCCTGCTAGCCCAAGGGCACAGAGGGAGAAAGGGCACGTGGCTAGTAGCCTTTGGGCTAGCCAGGGCCACCGCCCGGCTGGCCCGGTATTTGAACGCGCCGCTGGCCTCTGCCCCGAGCGACAGCTGCAGAGGCCGGCGGACGCTCCCGGCGGCACACACCGTGTGGCTCGTTGCGTTGGCAGGTGAAGCAGGTGCAGGACGACGCGGCGCGGCTGCAGAAGGCCTACGCCGGCGAGAAGGCGGACGACATCCGGCGGCACGAGCAGTCCGTGAGCGAGGCCTGGGCCGACCTGCTCAGCAGCAGCAGCGGCCGCCGGCACCTGCTGCTGGACACGGTGGACAAGTTCCGCTTCTTGCGCATGGTGCGCGACCTGCTGCTCTGGATGGACGACGTGAACCTGCAGATCGACGCCCAGGAGAAGCCCAGGTAGGGCCGGAGGGGCAGCCCTGGGCCGGCCCCGCGGAGCCACAGCCCTGGCCGTGCAGCCGGCCGATCCGCTGCGGGGCACGTGCTGCGTGGAACGCCCCGCACGGCCCTCGGGGGCCCTCGGCCGTCGCGGCTGCCTCCAGGGGCCCGGAGTTGTGGCGCCCCTCCCCGTGAATCGCCTCCTCCTCGCTGTGGTCCCCAGCCGCTCTTCCTCCCGCTCTTCCTCCTCATCGTGGTTGCAGCGGGGAAGAGAAGGCGCAACCCAGTGCTGGGAGCTGGGCCGCTCCCCGCAAGGAACATCACTCCCAGCAGTGTTTCCTTACTAAAAATCTTTAGGATTACATTTGAGCCTCTGAGCATACACAAAGTGAAATCTTGAGCCCTTTCTGAACTGACATCCCTGCCAGAACGGGCAGCCTTCTGTGTGCGCGACACACGGGGGGCTCCTGTTAGCGGCTGCGCATTTCGGCGCCTTGCCCTTGCTCGGGGTGCGCCCTCCTCTGCTCCGGCGGCTCCGGGAAGAGCCCCAGGCCGCCAGCTCCCCACCTCCTCCTCCTCCTCAGGGACGTCTCAGCTGCCGACCTGGTCATCAAGAACCACCAGGGCATCAAGGCGGAGGTGGAGGCCCGCAGCGACAGCTTCAACGCCTCCATCGCCATGGGCAACGACTTGCTGGCCAAGGGACACTACGCCTCGGACAAGGTGGGAAGCCAGCCGGCGCTTCTATGGCGGTGGCTCGTTTGGCGCTCTTGGGGGAAGGTCGGGGGTCCTTCCTGTCCGCCGTCCTGTCCTCGCGCCGGCCAGCCCGATGCCCCAGCGAGACGCCCAGGAGCAGAACTGGGTGGTGGCACTTGTGCCCCCAGCCTCGGGCATTCAGGCCTGGCTTGCACTGTGCCTCAGCCCGCCTTCGAGGGCTGTCGTGTCATGCCGGGCACCTGGGTGCGTCAGTTTTGCCTGTGGCTTCTCACGTTGCATGAACTCAGGAAGCGGGTTGTTTGTGGGTTGGGCACCCTGCCTGCCAGCCACGGCTTGGTTCAGGGTGATCCGAGGGTTCTTGGACTCTTGAATCCACCCCTGCGGCCTGGACTGGCCCCCGTGGCAAGCTGCAGCACGCCAGGCCCCCACAAAAGCAAGTCGGTCGACCCCCATAGGCAAACCAACAGTAGGGGGCCTTGCTGTGTGAACACACCCGCTTTCCCTGACCATGGGGCTGATCATGCAGCCATTGAGACAAATAGCCGGTAATACCTGGACTTCCAGGAAAGTGTCTGATCTTAAAGCCTTTGGGATTCGGCGATCATCACGTCTGGAAGAGAGTTCCACAGCTGGACCGTATTTCCCCTTTCCCGCCTCCCCAAATCTCCCACTGTCCAAATTCACCGGGACCCCCAGTTGTGTTGCCAACAACGGGGAACTCCCCCCCACCAGTCCTTCTCCTTTTGGTGCTTAGATCGCAGAGAAGTTGAGACAACTGCAAGAGCGGCGCAAGGAAATCAACGACAAATGGCAAGAGAAAATGGACTGGTTACAGATAGGTAAGTTGAGGGCGGGGAGAGATTTAGGATGGGGATACAACCCGCCAATCCAGCTTTCTGGGGACCCCTGGATTGCCGCTGTTTGGGATATCCTGGCTTTTTCGCAGACTAAAATGCCTCCTCCACAGCTTAGTTACAGGCAGTAAGAGCCTGAAGTTGAAATAGGTTGGTGTTTCTGATCGTCACCTGTGCCTTCGGTTCCTCCCTTGTCTTCCTCCCTCCCTCCAGGGAGTGTATTGAAAGCAGAAGTTGACCCTTGAGCTGAAAGAGGGTCAGTGGGTCAGTGGGAGAGCAGCGCGGCAGAGGGAAGGGGTTAGCTTTGGGGTGGGCGGCCCAGGGGGTGGGCATGACAAAACCACGTGCATTGCATTCGCATGCCATCCTCTCTGGAAGAAGCTTAGGGCTGGGGGAATGCAGCAGTATCCCATGTGATCTAACTTCCACCTCTTGCGCTTGGCTTGCTTGAGAGACGTCTAACGGCCTCGTGGCCAAGTGAGCCTTGCAGCGTCAGCCTCCTCCATCCCAGAGGAATGCTCTTTTCTTCCTCATTGTGGACTAGAACCTTGTGCCGCAAAAGCAACCCTGTTGACAATCTCAGGAAGCCCCAGTCTTGGGGATGATCCTCTGCACAGTAATATCTCTCAGGTTCTGTCTCGTTAAGGTCTTTCAGAGTTAAGACTGGCCTTCTGATTTAGACTGGGAATAACAGCAGCCGATGCTGTTCTATTAAGAGAGGGCTTCTGGCCAGATTTCCTTCTTCCCCTGCTGGAAGCAGCATCCTCCACTGATCCGCGCGTTCTCTTTTCTGCCGGCTGCAGTGACGGAGGTGCTCATGTTCGGGCGCGACGCGAGCATGGCCGAGGCCTGGCTCTCCAGCCAGGAGCCGATTCTGCGCTCGGCAGAGCTGGGCAGCAACGTGGACGAGGTGGAGAACCTCATCAAGCGCCACGAGGGCTTCCAGAAGTCGGCTGCCGCCTGGGAGGAACGCTTCCTGGCCCTGGAGAAGCTCACCACGGTTAGTGGGCAGAGGGCCACCAAGAGGAATTTGGGGTGGGTGGGAACAAGGGAAGGTCTGGGAGAAGGACTCCTCTCGGCCTCGGGTCCAGGTAGCTTTCTTTGTTTTAATGCACGTGTGCATGTATTTATCTCACAAAGCGGAGGGGTGGAACCCCTGAATTCCATTTCAGAGAAGCATTTGAAGGCTTCACTCCCATCATGTCTGGGGTCAGAAGAAAAGGTGCAGGACCGAAGCCATAAGGGACCATGCCAAAATACCGGAGTACCAGCATATTTCAGCTTCAAGCCTTTCTTGCCCGTAACTAACCTTCGGAGTGGCATTTCCACCTTTTAGGATTCCTTTCTCCGAGGGCCCACCTTCAAGGGAGGTTCCCAGCACTGCACAATGGGAGAGGGTCTTCTCAGTGGTTGCCCCCAAGTTCGGAAATGCACCCCCCCCCCCCAAAGCCAGCTCGATGCCCGGCAAGTCATCTTTTCAGGGCTGGGTTGAGACTGCCCTTTGCATCCAGTCATTTAGTGGGTTCTGTTGTTTTGCTGACAAGTTATCTCCAACTTACTTATTTGATTTGATTCCTAACTCTAAATGACGTAAGGCAAGTAAGGGACAAGAATAATAATTGCCAAATGTAAACAGTTGAAAAAATCCTTTTTAAAACCAGTTGTTAAAATGTCTGGAGAAAAGGATGGCTCATGCCTGGTGCTGACACACAAGCAACGCTGGTGCCAGGCAAACTTCTCTGAGGAGCCTAGTCCATAAATGGGGTAGCCACAGAGAAGGCCTTTCTTCTATCTGCCATCCCTTTCACTTCCTTAAGGGACAAATTCCCCTTCATTCACAACTTAAGGGTGGACTAGATGACCTCTGAGCTCCTCCCAGTTTTTTGGCCTTGAATTCCATCATTTGGTTCCTTCCTCCCATCAGCTGGAAGAGAATGAACGTCGCCTGCGAGAGCAGGAAGAAGCAAGGAAACGGAGACCTCGGACGCCACCCCCGCAAGAAGTCGATGCCGCATCGCCACAAAACCAGCATCTGGAAGCACCCCATTCTCCTGCCGTGGATCATGACAGCCGGTGAGAACTGGGGTCACAAAGATATCGGGGGAAGATGGGCAAGCGGCCCAAAAGGAGGGAAGAGTTTCGGGGGAGTCCCAATACAAATTCAGCAGAGGAGAAAAGCTGTCTCCAAAAATAGAATTAAATCCACTCCGTTCTAAACTCAGTTCTTATTTCCATGGACTCCAAAACTCAGCCAGCTGTTTTGGAGTTGATGAAATCTGAATTCCTTAGAAGCTACACTAGAGACAAAATTTGGCAAAATGTTCTCAGGTCTGATTCTGAAGTTTCAGACTTTCTCTAAGTTGTTAGGTCTTGAGATTAATTTATGTTAGTTACGATAGCTTTAAAAAATCTGGCTATATAAATTTTGCCGTATAATCTTTATAAAGTTTTCACAGGTATCTGTATTTTTATGCAACATTGTATTTTGTGTGCCACTGTAAAACACCAAGAGAGCTTTGACTATAAGGCAATATAGAAATAGAATTAATGATAATATTATAGATATTAATAAAGATGGTGCATAATATTCTGAGACTGGCCATTCACAAGAAGAGTTGTAGCTGGTAACAGACATCCTGAGATTGAAAAGGACAGCTAATATAAGCAGTGCAGTTTTAAAGGAAGGACAGAGGAAAATCCTTTATAATTTATGTTATTCATCCTATAATAAATGTGGTAGTCTTTTGGGTGTCAGGTTTCTTTGTCATAGTGGCAAGAGTCCTGGTCTAATTGAACATCAGCACTGACCTGTACCTCTTTCGGCCTTACCCAGGAGTCCTGAAGAAAGAAACCTGTCCCCGGAGTTGCCCTCTCTGAACGGAATCAACACTGATACTGAGTCTCTCCAGGTAAAACATGGGTGTTGGAGAGCTTTGGAGGGTGAGGGGCTGGGAAGGAAACGCAGCGCTGATGCATTGCTTGGAAACACCTGAAGTATGTAGTCAACTCCAAGAATTTGGGTAAAATTTACCCAAGTCTCTCCGAGAGGAATTGCATGGAAACCCAGCTCCGAATCATGCGGTTGGTCATGGACATCCCCAGTGGCTTGGAGAAAAGAAAGCGAGAATACAGGATTTCAGAACCGAGGCAGTGGGGTGTGGTGGTTAGAGCATTGGGCAAAGGATCCTGGGGTTTTAGCTCAGTGGGGTCTTATACACTGCAGGTCTCAGTTTGAGCTTTCTAGGAGCTATCCAAGGTGCTGAATGCCACCTCTCCAAGTAGGTTTGCTCCTCTGGGGCACCACAGTTAGCCCGTAAACTGAGAACTGCAGTAAATAAGGATTCCAGCTGACACCAGCTTCCCCGGTATGAAGACTGGGAAACCCAGTTTCAAAGCCAGGAACTCACTGGCCGCTTGCCGTCTTTCCCCGTTTGAGATCACAGTATTCTTCTGTGGTTGGTTCCGTCCCAGACCTCAGCCAGTGGAGGAAATCCGTCTCGAAGGCCAAAAGCAGGCAGAGATGGGAAGCAGAGCGAACGGTTCATGCAAGCACAATCCAAGAAAAGGGGTCGGAAGTCCGTCCCAAGAAGCCGGCTCGGGAAAGCTAGGTGCTGGGAGCGGGAATGAAGCCGTTCTGTGGCCGCCTCTTCCAGACTGATCTCGGTGTTTCTAGATTTCAGAGGTGTCGGCCACAGTAAACGGGTCACGGCTGGACCCCGAGTCCAAGGGGAAGGAGCCCAGCCCAGCCCCGTCCCCCAAGCTCCGCTCCAAGCCTTCTGCCTCTGGGGCCGATCCCACCCAGGCCACCACGCTGCCCCTGCGCACACCGGATCTCTCCGCGTCGGAGCAGATGGAAGGGATGCTGTGTCGGAAGCAGGAAATGGAGTCACAGGGCAAAAAGGCGGCGAACAGGTGAACTGCTTCTGTGTGCGGGGGGCGGGGGGAGGCGTGCCCCAAAAGGGCTGGCAAAATACCATTTTGTGCCAGGGTCTGGAACCTCCGGTCTGGGCGACCTGGTCCTCAACCCAGCCAGAAATGGAGATGCTCAAATTGTGCCCGAGCCCAGGGTCCTGCTTTGCAGATCCCATGGCACAAGCCAGAATTTTAATCCAGCGACCAGGCAGGAACCTGCCTTGCTTGGGAGCGACAGACCAGATTAGTGAGTTCAGACATGCACCAGCACACAGCTCCTTCATGGTAGCAAGGATAAACATAGAAACAGAGTGAGTCAGAAGGGACCTCCCGGGCCATCTAGTCTGACCCCCAGCACCAGCCAGCTCATAAGCTAGGAATCCTGGCTTATTGTTATGTGTAAACACAGCCAATGTGGGGAAAACATAAACCAAGGTACATTTTGATTTCCCTTGCCTCTTTTGTGCGTTCTTTTCCATCGTGGAATCTAGCCATGTGTGACAATTTTAATTAAAAAGAAGGTTTCAAGTTCAGTTTTCCAAGATTTCACTCCCAAATTGTTTTTCTAACGCACTGATACAATTCATGAAGCAATTATTAAATTATTAACCTAAACCTGGTAGTCAGAATGCACTAGACCTGAATTATTCTCTAAAAAAATATTTTTTCTTACTTATGAGGTAAAAGTCTCCTCCCCCTTCTATAAAAATCAGATTTTAAATTTTAAAATGTCACGACTGCAGCCCTTCACTTGCAGGGTTGGATGCACTGCATTATCCATTGGTTTGAAATTAATCCGTTAACACGGATGAGATGGCTGGCAGAACAAGGATGGGGAACATGGGTCAGCCAGTCACTCAAGGGACCACATTCCGGGGCGGGTGGGGCTAACAGCAAAGGAGGCGGGGCCCAAGGCAGAACGGGCAGCATCAAACCTTTAAAAAACCAGCAAGGCGCAACCCTTACGTAAACTGGGCACATCTCTCTCTGCGTCTTGCGCAGAGGAGCTTCGAGCCGCTCGGGGGGTGCGCGTGTCACGGGACACACTCACGGTGCCGCTTTTCCACCCCCTCCCACCAGGTCCTGGCAGAATATCTACTGCATCGTGCGGAAGGGCAGCCTGGGCTTCTACAAGGACAGCAAGAGCGCCGGCAACGGCATCCCCTACCACGGCGAGGTGCCCGTGAGCTTGCAGGGCGCCCAGTGCAACGTGGCCATGGACTACAAGAAGCGCAAACACGTCTTCAAGCTCGGGTGGGCCCCCGCTTGCTTTCCGCCAGGCCGTCCGTCCCCCGGAGTTGCACTTCCTTGGTTTTGGAGCTCCTGCAGTGAATGGCCCTTCGAGCTAGGCTCGAACCCTGTTTAATAGTTCCGGGACACTTGAGGCCCGTAGGCCTAAACCTTGAGAAATGTGGCAAAGGCGGGGAAAACTGGGCTGGGCGGGTGTCTTTAACTGGATTTTCAGAACGCAGCAAAAAGCCAAGGTAATGTTCCAACGGTGCAGCCTTGCTCATGTAAACATGGATAGGTTTGCAGCCTGATATCCTCTGATCCTGAAAGACAGCCTAAGTCCTGGAGGACTAGAATCATGAGTAGCCTTCTCCTCCATGAATTCGTCCAACCCCCTTTTCAAGCCCTCCAGACTAGTGGCCGTCACACCATGCAGAACTGAATTCTGTATTTAGCAATGTACCATGTGAAGAACAACTTGCTTTAGCGTAGCTTAACTCTCCCAGCGGTCATGTGTCTTATTATTCACCTTCCCCCTACGCTAAACAGTCGCAGATGTTGGGGTCTCGCTTCTTGATCGCCCCAGAGTGCAGGACACAGAATAATGGGCTCCGGATTCTGGCTGGATGACTATTAGGGCAATGGAACCCGTGACATAGGAGGCTGCCGGCTATGCCAAACTAGAGGCATTCAGGATGCAACTGGATAGCCCTCCGGGAGGGATGGTTTAACTGGGAATCCTGCACTGAGCAGGGGGTGGGATCCGATGACCCTCAGGCCCCTTCCAGCCCTATGATTCTATGATCTTTCTCCCGTCACTGGTCACCCTTTTCTGTACTGTTCCCATCCCTACAAAATCCAGAACTCTGCACAGTCTTCCGAGTGGGTTTGGCATCACAGAGCTATACAAAGTCGCATTGCTTCTACTCCATATAATCATACCCTAACCTTTTATCAGAAAGAGGAAACTGGCATCACCACAATTAAAACACACACACGCACACACACACACACACACACACACACATTGTATTTTCTGTTCCATTTCAAAGGGTCCCCATGATGGAATTTCACAGCCTCCACATACTGACCTGACATTCCCGCACAGCCCGTCCATGACCCCTTTCCCGGTGGGTCAGCACCAGCTCAAGCCCCGCCAGCACCTAGGCAAAGCTAGGAAGTACTCCCCCCATTCTGCACCATTTCACACTGGCTTCCCCTGAATTGCAGCTGCCATTTCAAAGCCCAGTCCTCCAAGTCCTCCTTTTGGACTCCCCCCCCCCTTTAAAGCTCACATGGGATTTGCATGTTCTCAGCATTGGGGGTGAACTTTTTTCTCTTCTCTCCTGGCAGGTTAACAGATGGCAAAGAATATTTATTCCAGGCCAGAGATGAGGTGAGTCTTTCTCTTGCATATTCTGCTCTGAAGACCTGCCCCAGGGAGTCCCGGGCTTTTACTCCACACCTGACCCAAACCTCCGCTCCCAAATTGGGAGCGGAGCCGGCTGGAGCCGGGGGTCAGACTAGATGGCCCAGGGGACCCCTTCTGACTCGCTCTGTTTCTATGTTTCCTATGGAAGGGGAAGCTGTATTAGTCAGAAGGGCCCGTCCAACCCAGTGGCTCTGTTCTTTTAAAACAAGCTTCATTCTTCCACCTAGAAGCCTCTCCTTTCTAATCCCACAATTGGGGCTGAGTTCCAAGCACTTGTTGGGGAACAAAGGGCGCTCTTTCCTCGCTCAGAGGAATTATTTGGAAAGACGTGCCTGATCTCTTTATTTCCAAAGAAAGAAGGAAAGCAAGCAAGGAAAAAGTAGAGGGAAAACAATAAAGGCCGAGTCTTGTGCATGTTTGGACAGGAAAATGTCCTAGAATTCACATTTGCTCCAGCGTTCCAGCACTGAGTTACACCGACTCCCCTCTCTGTATATAAAGATGCCAATATATTTAATAATGCAATTGTCAACACAGTTGTGAGGAATCATGTAGGACTTTCCGCATCCGGATTTAGCACCCTGAACGGCTCTAGAAGGGGACAAACCCTAGAGCTCAGAGGGATGCAACCCATGGCAACGAGGATCAATGCTTTTAACGAAGCAACCGTCAATGCGGGGATAAAAATAGGCCGTTGGACCCCTGCCAGAGGTTCTGGCTACTGCTTTTCGCAGTGACCGTTCCCTGGGACTTGTGCACCTGCTGCTTTATTAACTGGCACTGAGGAAGGTGGAAGCCGAAACATTTGTTAGATGGCAGAGAAGGTATTTGTACTCCTGTTCTGAAAACTGGCTGAGAGAGAGAGAGAGAGAGAGAGAGGAGCTGAGTGTAGGAGGAATACGGAAAGGAGGAGCAGAACGGGAGTTGGTACGACCGAGGCATTTGCTGTGCCTGTGGAAAGCGCCAGCTTAGAACCCCAGTATCTCCAGGCAGGGGAAAAATCCTGCCTGAACCCCGCATTGCTGCTGCCAGCCTGTGCTGACAACACAGGGCTGAATGGCCTGTGCAGCTCAGCATTCTGTATCGCAACGTTTTGTTGTGGATCCCATATATTAAAGCCTCGGAAATTCCTGCAACCCAGAACCTGTAATGTTCACAGGCTCTTAAGAGCATGCTCAAGATCCTCATGGTGGGGGGAGGGGGGATTCTGCATGTGTTCAGGAGTGACCTGGTACACTAGACGCCGCCTCCTTTCCGCCTTCCCCCCCAGGCCGAGATGAGCAGCTGGATACGAGTCATCAACGCCGCCACCGCTGCCTGCACCCCGACGCCACAAGGCCTCGCCGAGGACCAAGGCCCGGTCATCGGCAAAGGCATGCCGCGGGCGCTGAGCATGCCCCCCGTGTCCCCCCACAGCGCCACCGAAGGGACCGTCATTCTGCGGAGCAAAGAGACCAAGGAGAAAGACCGGGAGAAACGCTTTAGCTTTTTCAAGAAGAACAAATAGGGACGCTCGCGGGGCAAGATGGAGGCAGCCGCTGCGGCATCTGTACAGAACTGGTCGGCGGGGGGGCGGTGCAGCGGCGGGGGGGCTTCAGGCTGGGGCGGGGGGCTGTTGCGGGGGCATGACGCGACTGGCAGAGGCCGTGGCGGGGGTTCTGTTTTTAGTCCTGCAGATTGCATGAAGCACCTCCAAGCTCTACAAGGAATATCCCCACTTCCCCGCAAACCCCCCAAAAAGCAAAGAGAAAAAAGCCACGCTGCCTCTGACCACATGTATTTGCTGCAGGAGGCCGCGGTCCGGATCGGGGCGGGGGGCCGCCTTGAGGTGGGACACGGGGGGCCGGGCCCCGGGGGTCGCGCCAGGGTGCGTCTGGGGCGGCGTCTGGCGGTCCCATCACTCGGCACGGGAGGCCGGCCTCCGCGGACTGCAAACAGCACAGCCGCCGGGCCGCTTTTCCATTGACGAGCGTCGTCAGACGGCCACGGGGTGTGCAGCGGGGCCGCGGGTGCACCTGTGTCGAGGGTTTTCTCCTGTCGTCTCAGCCCTAGCCAGAAACATCTTCCACCACGTGACCCCGGCCTATTATTTTCCTTGCCCGTCACCAACACGCTCCAGGGCAAGCTGACCTCCTCCCCAGCATCCCCCTCTCAAGCCTTCCCCAGGCAGCGGAGGAGCAAGACCCCCCGCTCGCTGGGCAAGGGTCAGCTGACATTTTGACCTGCTCGGCCAACACCTGATCAGGTAGATGTTTGAATTACGGGTTGGTAAGCGAAACCCACAATTCCTGCCGCCTGCTTCCCAAACCTTTATACCCGCCTTGCCTTCACACACAGGGCCAAGTCCTTCTTGCCACACTGCCCCACACAGTAGGAACCACGGTTTAGGGTCACATCACACAGTCTGATTTCCTTGAGTGCATGAATGAGGCACGGATTCAAATCGGGACAAGCACAACCCAGGACGAGCAGAGGAGACTGTTTCTTTCACGCCGATCGTCTCCATTAATCCTCCCCAGAGCCGATTTTATCTTTTAACCCCACCCCACAGGGGGACGCATTTGTGGGGAAAGTGTGTGTGTGTGTGTACATGTACGCATACTCGTGCGTGTGGAGGGGGATCAGGTCCTCTTCCTCCAGTTTGCACAGGTCCCCATGCAAAGTGGTGCGTAATTGCAGCAAAGCCAACGAAATAGGCAGAGCGATGCAGCAAACAGAATGTGTTGCTTGGCCCTCAGAACAGGGAGCTTGACAAACGGTGCTGGAGCAGGTAGGCCGAAGGTGCCTGCACCATCGCGCTCTTGCAGCTGGCTTCAGGTGCCAAACCCGGCCAGGTGGCAGGGAAGAATGGCGTGAAAGAGCCAGTTAGCTTGGCCTGTCTCCTAGCAGGGGGCGGCTTGAGATGGGCTTCAGCAAGCTCCCGGAAACGGTTCCCTCTTAAAACGGCTGCAGTCGCCCAGGGGCCCGGCCTGAGGAACTCGGCCGTGCTGTGGGAAATTTAAAAAATGGGTACTTTCCGGCAGAAAAGCCTATGGATGGAGGCCAGTGCCACATGCCCTGCCCCGCCTGTCTCACTCCGCTTCAAATCACACCCCTCTGCCGTTTCGCAAGGCGTTTTAGGACAATCATGCCACACCTTCTCCCCTGCCTTTGATTTCCTGACGCATCCAACAGAAAGACCCAGGAGGCCAAGAGGCCATCGAGTTCAGCATGGAAGACTCACCAGTACGGGAGGAAAAAGAGACATCGGCTTCTTTGTCCCCAGCACATGCCGCATGGAGGTTCCCTGACCTGTCCCGGAACATGGAAGTCCGATTTCTCAGCAACTGTGATTTGCCCACCACTGCTGGGCCTTCCAGAGTCCAGCTGCACCCAGAAGTCTCGGATTTGGGGGGGGGTCCCCAAGGAGGGTCAAAAAAGGGGCACAAACTCTGCATTGGGGGCGTTTGTGTGTACAAAGCCTCAGCTGAGGGGTTTGTTTTTTAGGAAAAAGCAGGGGTGCCTGCGTTGGAGAACCTGGTGTTTTGGGGGCAGAATGTGTGCGTGGAGTTTCGTCACAAGGGTAACACTTTGCCGGGTCGTGCGAATGGAGGCGCTCAGTCCATCAGACACGTGCTTTAGTCTTTCCTGGGGCAGAGTCAGCCACCGCCAGCGGTCCCGTCCCATACAGCTCACGGGTCGCTCCATTCCCCCCCGTTCTGGTTCCTGACCCACGTGTGCCTTCCTTTCGTAATCGTAGCCTGCCCCGAATCCCTGCCCCATTTCCTTTGCCATAGGAAGACAGGATGTCCCGGCGCTGCTTGGATCGCAGGAGGCAATGGGGAGGGGGTCCCCATTTCTGTGCAACCTGAAGACACGCTGCCCTCTCGACGCACCGTTTCGGGGTTCCTGCTCCTGGTGGGGCCGAGTGGTGTTTCCGTGTTGGTGGGAGACCGTTATTCACGTGTTTGCAGTGGCATCTTTCCGGGTTATTTTGGACAAATAAAGAGAATCTGTGTAGAGGAGAGTCAGCCTACGTCATTCCTGCACACCAGCTGCAGAACCGAACTTCCCCCCTTTGCTGTTTCTGCAGTGGGAAGCCAAGACGAGAGTCCCATCTGAGGTGGCCCCCTTTTCCAGCAACCAGCGGCCTAAGAGGGGGAAAAGTTAATTTATTTCAGCTTGGTAATGCTTTTCTGTCAAGGCACCCAAGTCACTTTCCATGTTCTACATTCTAAATATTAAAACATCACACCCGACACAGAAAAACAACATTCTTCCATTAGAATAACGTTTTGTCAGGCTAGTATGCTCCTTTCAGGAGTTAATGGTATGTATCTTCTTGGAGAAATGCAGAGTCCACAAAGGGAAAACTTCAGTTGAATATCAGCTCGTTTCCCTCTCCTGTCATGATGCGGACGGCTCCAGAGCTGGGGAAGGTGCAAAAGGGGAAACCCAGTGTGATGCAGGCAGAGGTTGTGGGACTGGAAGATCTGGGTTCTAGTCCTCACTGGGGGACCTTAATACATCGTCATCACAGCAGGAACACCAATCAGTTAAAAATGCATGTTAACATAGTAGACTTGAAAGATGATAAGTGCATTCCAAAATTCATTAAAATATCAGTTAAAATTTGAACCTAGAACAGTCAACAATTAAAACACTCTGAGAATAAAAACGTCTTGATGTATACAAAGAAAGAATGTATATAAAGAATGTATACAATGAAGGTGCTTGGCACAATTTGGGGAGTCAGTTCCATACATGAGGGGCCATGACTGAGAAGGCCCTACCCCACCCCTTAGAAGAAAGGCCTACAACTCCCAGCATGCCTCAGCCGACACGTTTGACAAGGCTAGAGAGGCCTGGGTTACCTCAGGCAAAAGGTTTCACTGGGCGACTTTCTTGCCTACCTCACAGGGTTGTTGTGGGGATCAGATGAACTGGAAAGGTGGCAGCTACTGACTGACTGACTGACTGGCTATAAGGACAGTCCCAGAAGGAAGATTCCCCCATGGCACCCACTCGTCCGAAGGAGTCTTCTTCACCCCCTTCTAAGGCCTGATCATGGAACAGTCCTCCCTCCCCCCACAAGTTGGAGCAAGTTGAGCTCCCCATTGTGAGCCCTAATGGAACAGCCCAGTCGATCCCATTCCTCCCCCGCCTATGCTGCCACTCCGAGTCATTCCTTCCCGCCGCCTATAATTGGTCGACCTGATTAGTCCCGCCTCTCGTGCACAGAGCCGTATGGAACAGCCCATTGCCCTGCCGAAAGGGGGATGACTGCAGTGTTTGGTCGCGCCACCTATGCCCTCTTCCCCATTTATTTCCCCTTCCCCTGTGAAGTGGGTTAGGGGCAGGCCCAGAATTACCCAGGGGGCTCCCGGCCGAACAGAGGGCTGAACGCAGGCCTCCCGCGTCCCGCTTAAACCACTAGACGGCACTGCTTCTGTCTAGGACGACGACGAACTTTCGTGGGCGGGGAAAAGAAGAAAGGGCTGGGCGTGCCGCCAAGAGCCACGCCCGCCTCTTGTGCCGTGAATGCGGGGAGAGCCAATCGGCTGGCTCCTCCGCCCTGAACGAGGCCCGCCCGCGGGTCACGCGCGCCGGCGCCTCGCGGGGCCAATCGGGACGCGGCGCAGCGGCGCAGGCGCGGGCCGCGCGAGGCGCTTTTCCGTTGTGCCCGCCGCCATTTTGTGGTGTGGCGGTGGTCGTGCTGGTGCTGCTGCTGCCGCGGAGGTGCGTGGCGGGCCGGGCCGGGCCGGGCCGGGCCGGGCCGGGCCGGGCCGGGCCGGGCCGCGGTGGGGGGTGGCGAGCGCGGCCGCGGGGAGGTGAGGGGGCGGGAGCGGGAGCGGCGCGGAGGGAGCGGGGCTGTTCGGCGGCTGCGGCCGCCACTGATGGACGGCGCCTCATTCCCCTCAACCAAGAGGCTCGGGAGGCGGCCTAAGACGACGGTCAGGCCGTGATTCTAGGCGGGCTTGGGCAGAAAAGAAAGGAAAGGCCTACAACTCCCAGCGTGCTCCAGCCCGCTGCAAGAAAAGAAAGGCCTACGAATCCCAGCATGTCGCTCTCTAGCTATGTGGGGCATTCTGGGAGCTAACGGCCTTTTTTCTTCTGTCTGAATTCACATGGAATTGTAGGTTAGGTCTTCTTTCTGGATGGTGTCAGTGAATGCGGGGAGGGGGTCTTTATTAGGGTTGCTCCTTTTTTTCTGTTTGCTTGTTACTGGCCCGGGTTCTTTTAAATGTACGTTTACATTTGCATCCTTTTTTTAAAGTATTTCAGGGTAGTTAAGAATACTAATTAGTATCGTTGATTCTCATATTGTAGGGTTTGAAATAGAGCTGAAAATCAAATTAAACCCTAATGATGTCTGGGGAAAAAAACTGAAAAGACAGTAGAGAAAAAGCAAGCTGCTTAACAGCAGAGGAATAGTGTGCCCATTCAGGTATCCTCTAGATATTGTGGACCACAGCTCCCATCATCCCTGACTGCTTGGCATGTTGACTGGGCAGGTGGTGGTTTCAGACCAAAATACCTGGAAGAAACTGGGGTGGGGAAGCGCTTTGTGACATAGAAAATGGTGTGGAAAGAGGTATTTGTGGAAATTCCCTGTGCTGCACTGCTCTCAGGCACAGATGCAGGGCCTTAAAGTGAGAGGCAGAGGGCCTTTTATAGTTGGTTCCTTGTGGGTGTGGCTGCGTTGCACAATGGGAGGCAATGCAGCCCTGCAAAAGACGCGGTCGGTCATTTCCTGCCATCTGTGTCCTTTGACACTGCCTGGATTCTTTGTAGGATTCTTTGGTGTGGTGGCTTGCTTTGCTCTCCCTGCCTGCCCCGTCTTCTGTTTTCAGAGCTGCTGCTAGCTTAGAAAGAACTATACCATCCGTGAGGGCAGAGGAAGGGCCCTCTAAAGACCGAGTCTTTGCTGTCACCTCCAAAGGGCTCTGAATTTTTTTTGGCGGCCGGTCCTAGGACTGCCCGTATGTTACTTGCCTTGGAAAACTAGCCATGTGACCAGGTCTGAATGTGGAGAATCTGGGATTTCTCTTCGTGAAGCTTTAGCCCGAAATTTTCTTCTGATGTGGCCCCCAACACAGCTGTAATGCCACTCCCCCCCACCCCCCATCCATGTCCGCTGCAAACATAATGCAGGACGTGCATGGCTGAATCAGACCAGAGTTCTGCAGCCATCCAGAAACCTGTGGGAGACCTTCAGGCAAGGCTGTAGCACCCTTGCACTCAAGCTCCCCAGTATTCAAAGGCGTCCTGCCTCTGATACTTGAGGTAATACGCAGTCACCCTGGCCAGGAACATTGGTAGCTCCCTGTATGCATTTCACTGAGTTCGGAATCAGGAGTGGCGCCTGCCTCTGTAAACAGGCTCCCCTCTAGGCTTGTATCCCCCTCCCCCTTGGCCAGGGAGGCTTCAGTGACAGGGGCCTGCTCTGCATGATTACAATTCCTTTCAAGATAGCAGCTGACCAGATCTTGTGAAATTCAGTGGGTGTTCTGAAGGAGAGTTCTTTGATCAGTGAATCCTGGGTGGTTTATTCTCCCCAGCCCCAGAAGTCTCCGGTGCTGGTCCCGTATCCTTGTTTGAACGTAGTCTAATGTGTCTCTCTCATTCCCCCATGCTCAGCTCTAGCCACCATGGTGAAACTGTTTATCGGCAACCTTCCCCGAGAAGCCACCGAGCAGGAGATCCGCTCCCTCTTTGAGCAGTATGGGCGGGTTTTGGAATGCGACATCATCAAAAACTATGGCTTCGTGCACATAGAGGACAAGACAGCGGCTGAGGACGCCATCCGCAACCTCCATCACTACAAGCTCCATGGAGTGTGCATCAACGTGGAGGCCAGTAAGAACAAGAGCAAGGCCTCCACCAAGCTGCACGTGGGCAACATCAGCCCGAGCTGTACCAACCTCGAGCTGCGGTCCAAGTTTGAGGAGTACGGCCCCGTCCTTGAGTGCGACATCGTGAAGGATTACGCTTTCGTTCACATGGAACGAGCGGAGGATGCTGTGGAGGCCATCAGGGGCCTCGACAACACCGAATTCCAAGGTGGGAAAGGGGTGATGGCAGGGCAGGCTCTGAGCAGGAGGCAGAGAGGGGTCCCGTAGTGGGATTTGCCTCTTCAGGAGCCAGACTCATCCGGTAGTTGTGCTGTCTGCTGGCTAGACATTACCTTCCATTAGCCTGGCTTTCAACCCATGATTTAGATGTGTTATCTTAACCATATAACTAACGTCAGTCAGTATTTCAGCAAAGATGCCTCTTTGAGGATCTTGACGGAGGTAGCTTCTGCATTGGGAACCTTAATGCTCCCCGCAGTTTAAAAAGGAAGGCCGTCGCTGGCCATTCTTGTCATAATTGGGAAGTATAGGCTGTTCCCCGTTGAAACCGCAGAGTCAAAATAACTCCAAATACAAGTTTAAGGACCGTGAATTTTATGAAAGATCCAGGCTTCAAAGGCACCCTCAAAATGGATTTCAGTTGAGCACTGCCAATGGTTAGAAGTAAAGCTTTTGAAGGCCCAAAATACTGTTTTCCAGCCTGGTTAAGCTTATGCCGCACCAAGTTTTGTGCAGCAAGGAAGAAGAAAGTGTCTCGATGCCCTTCCGTGGCCCCTAGGTCTTTGACTTGTTTTTCGTCTACCAGTCAGCTTCTGTGTGTAGGTGTTCAGTGTGCATTTAAAATTCAGGTTGGTTGATTGCTGATTAAATTGACAAGAGCATGCGGCACTGGCAGCTGAAGTGTGGTAAGCAAGATGGTCCCAAATCAGTGTAACACCGAGCCGATCTGGTCAGCCTCTTTGACCTCGGTAACGTAGCACAGAATCTCGGTAACAGTCCACCCTTGTTCCCTTGCCTGCCTGTCCTTTTCTTGAAAGGCTGCCCCCCCCCACACTGCAAAGCTTTCCTGTCTGTATTCCTTTCCTAATAACAAGAAGCTCCTTTAAAACGAAGTAAAGCTTTTCCCCATTTACCCCCTCTCGTTCCTCTGTTTCTGCCACCCAGCTTTCATGAACTTCCATGTCTCTCAGCCCAGTACCTTCTCTGTCTCCATTGCTCGCCAACTTAGCTTCTGTTCTTCCTGTGTCTTTCATCTCTTCCAACCTGGTTTCCAAGCTTTCTTACTCTGATTCTCTTTTCTTCTTCCCTTGCCAGTAGCACATATCTTAACACACTGCATGAGGTTTTAGCTCAACTGACATTTTCCTTACTTGTGGCTTGAACTGCAGTATTTATCAACATTTGGCTACTAACAATTTCCTTTTGAGCAGTTAGAATGTCCTTGCAGGTCTGCGATATTGCAGAGAAGCACCGGGGCAGCTGTAAGCGGCCCATATCCACTTTTTGCCTTTCGTGTGTGCTAGTGAACTCTTCCTTTGATTGTTTTTACACTCTGGGGTTTGCATCCAAGGTTGGGAAAGCTGAGCCCCTTAGCATGTTTGTGGCTAGTTCTTAAAAATCTGCAATATACCTGTTGAAGAAAACACATTTAAACAAGCTTTGAGGAAAATCCAGACCGTTCCTCCCAATTTTCACAGAACTTGGCATCTTCCAAGTGAAAAATACAGTGGCAGTTTGTTGAAGTTCCCACTTTTTAAGACAAAGTAGCTGTAGTATAATTATGCAGAGTTTTTTTCTTCTTTCCCTTTTAGCTTTTCTGGAAAAAAATGGTTAGAATTTTGAATCATGACTGTAGGTAAGAAGTAGCACTATATGCAAAGTGGTCAAGAGAAGGGACCTGAGCATAATCTGAATTGGTCATTGCCTGGATTGTGAGTCAAGTGAGCCTGAGGGTGGACAAAGAGCTGCTTCCTTTGAAATGGTTTCCCACAGTTGTGTTTGTGGTGGGGAGGCGCTGAGTCGAGCTGAAATGGGGAGAAATATATGCCGAAGTGGAATGTAACATGTGGCAACATTTCCACTTGTCTTTTTCAGTTTTAGCGTCTTAGAGGAGCATCCCATGCTTTTTTAGATGGGGAAAAGATCCCGCAGCTCCTGGCAGTCCCAACCCTAAGTGGGCATTGACTGGGGAATGCTGGGAGACGTAGGACTGCTCAGTCGGAGTATTTCTAGGACGGCCTCCTTGGAGTGCAGGCCTGTTTCCACCTCCCAGGAACCATTGGTCGTGCAAGCGCCACTCCGGGCGGGAATGTGCCACTGGCCTTTCCTTGTGGACTCGGGTTGTCCATAAGCTCCTGGGTTCTGTGCTGAAGCAGTCACATGAGCAGACCCAGCCGCTCCAGCTCTGGCGCCGTGTGTGCCTCTCTGTCAGTCATACGTCACTCAGGCTTACAGACAAGCGCCAGGCCAGCCATGGACGAGCTCCTGGAGAATGGCTATGTGGCGGCAAAGAAAGGCGGGTGGGAAAGAGACATCGCCTGGCTGTACTCCCTGGGCGAGGTTTTGTGGGAAAGGACCTGCTTCCTTAGATGCACGAAGTAGACAGCACGCGACCCCCAGTAATTTTTACCGGCAAGCCATCTCATTGCCCCCCATCAACTGCCGGTCAAGGGTACATGTATATTGTGGGCACTGGACATACACTGGACACGGCCCTTGCATCATGCGAATGAACATGCAGGACTGAGAGGAGCTGCTCCTGTAGCAGGGAGAATTGGGAATCCATCCTCTGCACAGGGGCGAAGACAGTCCTCAGAGAACTTCTCTTCCTCTCCACTGGCTGACCTGAATGGTGGGTTGGCAGACCTTTCCCCTGCCTCCAGAGTGGTCCCGAAATGGAAGCGGGGCGACAGGGCCCCGGTGTCTCAGAGCAAGAAAAAAGCAGGATTCCAGTCTCTTGCTGAAGTTGGCCGGGGTTGGACACTCAGCTTGCTGCCACACATGCTGAGAAGAGTTTGCTGGTTAAACAATGGGGTAGGCCAGCGTTGCGAGTAGCATCTGGCTCAGGTGCCACCAGCCCCTGCGAACAACAGGACAGAGCAAAGCCAGTGGCAACGAGAAACAAAAAGCCTCGGGTTGTCTCAAGCTATAGGCCAAATGTTTCATATTCTTGGTTAGGCGCGGGAAACTGAGCAGTCTTCCTCACGAATTCTGTAAGGGTCTGTATCCGTCCCTCCCTCCTGCCCTCCGTCCCGGAAACGCTCAGGCCCAGATGGCCCCTTGCATTTAGATGCTGGAATTAAGGTGTTGCTAGCTGTGAGAGGCGCTACCTGTCCGCGATAAGCCAGGAGTATTCCTTGGGCCAGAGCTAGGGATCTGGATGAAGTGCATGGCAGACACTTCCATTTCACGAGCCTAGGGGTGCTTGGGAAGGAAAAGCAAAGGGAGTGAGGGTGTTACGGTTGAGGGACCAGATCTGGAGCTGTGCCCCTCCGAGCTTTTTGCCTATGTTGCTAAGCCTCTAAGTCTTTTCTTGTTATCTCCAGAAACCATAAACATTCTTTCAATAATGGCAGCTGTGACTTATCTGGAGTATTCTGGAAGCCACATGCAGCCGTAGCTTCTAGTAATCCTGGGGTTTGATATATTATGCCTTTTCTATCTTAGCATTATGCAGACCTGACAAAAGATTTCCTGTTTTTAGCAGCCAGTATCGCTTTTACAGGCTGATGGAAACATTTCACATTCCTATGTAGGCTGGGATGAAAGCATGGCTTTCTTAGGAACTTACCGGGCGTTCAAACCAGAAGAGGCAGGATCTCACCCTTTCCGCTACAGGGAATCAGTGGGCCCAAGAACAAGTTTTTGCTTGCTTTTTGTGCAGCTAGTTGTGGCGGGTTGGGCCAGGCGGCATTGATTTAGTGTGTGTTTAAAAAATTCTGACCTGCTGTGCTTGTGCTTTGAACTGTTCTTAACCGATCTTTATAGCTGCCCTTCTTGCGTCTGTTTCTTCAAGGCAAACGAATGCGCGTGCAGTTGTCCACCAGCCGTCTCAGGACCGCGCCCGGGATGGGAGACAAGAGTGGCTGCTACCGGTGTGGGAAGGAGGGTCACTGGTCTAAAGAGTGCCCGGTAGATCGCACGGGGCAAGTGCCAGAGTTGACCGAAACTTATAGCGAGCAGTACGGAATGGTGCGCCCCCCCTACCCTACGGGCTATGGGGACGCCGTGTATTACGATGACCCCTATGGAATGGTGGACTACTATAAACGGTACCGCGCGAGGTCTGCCGCAGCGGCGGCGTATGGGGCTTCTGCATATGACGCTTATGCGGAGCACACCATGGCCCAGTATTCCCAGTACGCCCAGTACTCACAAGCCACAGCCATGGCCAGTCGCATCACTACTGCCTTAGACCCCTACGAGAGGGCCTTGCTGCCAACCTCGGGAACTGTAGCAGCGGTGGCCGCCGCTGCTGCGGCCGCCACCTCCACATTTTACACCCGGGATAGAAGCCCTCTGCGTCGCTCGGCAGCTGCGGCTTCCACCACTGGAGACGTGTACGGATACGAGCGTGTGCAGCTGTCTCCCGTCCCGCGATCCTCCCTCTACGATGTCCAGCGGTTCGGGCGGGATGCAGGCGCGGACAGGTTGCGATACTCCGCGTATTGAGCCTGGAGGTGAGAGCGTTTTTTCATGCGTCGCTTGGAGGAGGAGGAGGAGGAGGGGGAGGCGCCTCCGGTGTGGCTGCTGGCGAGGCCTGGGGGTGGCTGGCCCGCGGCGGTGTGTGCCCCTCTCGAGGGGATACCATCTGGTATCTGCTGGGCTCTGGGCCGCATTCTAGGCAGTGCTCGGGACACGGGGAGCAAGCTTTGCTGCTGGCAAGGGTGGCACAGCTTGGACCGTTGGCCAGGCAGCGGGGAGAGAGGCACCACTGCCCCTTGGCCTCCAGAGAGATCTTCCCATGTGGGGGCAAGACTAGGCCAGGCCTGTCGGATTCCCTGCCTCCCCGGTCGGCCTCTGCTCCTCCTCGTTGCATTGGCTTTGCACCCTTTGGCTTACCGGCCACAGGGCTGCCGGTGCCCCATCCCACCCCACGACACCACACGAGGACTCCCATCGAGCCACAGCCCCACTGGCGGGATGGGGCAGGCCTTTGGTCAGGTTCAGCGAGCCAACGGCAAGCTCTTGGCCAGGCCTACGCCCGGAGTCGCCGGGATTCCTCCCCACCACTCTTAAGACCGGAGACTTGCTTTCATCTGCACCGGTGTCCTGGGTGGATCATTCACCAAGTGCCTCTCTGTTTCTCTGAGACTTCGCTTCCTGATGGAAGCGCAGGGATGCCAGGTCAGGTGGAGCTCGTAGGCCTGGCCTTCCCACATTGGACAAATGGACCCCCGTCTGCCCCGCCCCACATTCAGAGATAGCCTGGCCAGATGCTGCTGAGAGACCCATCCCCATCCCCATCCTCTCACTCTAACCCTTTTCCAAAGCCATCACCACCTCTTCTGACATCGATGTCCCTCCATTAATTAATTCCTTACATGAAGGACAGCTTTGCTTGGGTCTCTTCTGAGTCCACCCACTATTATTTTCAGTGTCTCCCGAGATTTGTAGTGTGGTGTGAGAAGGTGAAGCATGTTTCTACCCCTTTGTCTCACCAGGCACATAATTTTATAAACTTTTTATGACATGTTCTCACGCTGCTTCTTCTTTCTTTAAAAAATAAGAACAAGAAGATCTGAAAGCTTTTTGTTGTGAAGGGCTGCAGCTCCCTTCTCGGTCGCAACGTTGTCCCTTTCTGTACTTCTTCCAGCTGTTTGACATTCTTTGAGACACGGGGCAGCCAGGATGATTCACCATGCCACGGATGCCCCTTACGGCGCTTGTCATCTTACTGTCAGTCCCTCTCTCACAATTCTGGAGATTGAGGCTCTGCCTCCCTTCTCTCATTGCAACCTATTCCTGGAGCTTTCTGGCAGCCCCACCACCCGGAGGCTTCATTCCCAGAAAGCCACTGCTAGGCCCATCAGCATATACCAGTAATGAGCCTGATATCCCATCTGCTTGTTAGCAAGCCGAGTTGTGTCTCGTTTGGGGTGGGGAGAGTCTCACAGGCCTGCCCCATAAAGGCCTCTCTGCCCCCGTCCTGTCTCTTTCGCCTGAGTCTTAACAAATGATAAATGCCACCGTTCCTTGGCTATCAGGTGCGTGGTGCCCAGCGCATGAGAGGACTGCCCGATTCCCCTCCATTTGCCTGAGCGGAGCCGGCCTGGCAGTCCTTCCTGATCCTGGGGGCGGGGGCTGGTGCTGCTGGCAGGAAGGGCAGGCCGGGCAGGACACTTCCTTTGCACAGTGGTGGCCCCAAGTTTAACACTCAGCAGTCCTAGTTCAAAGTTCAGGGCAGCAGTGATGGAGGAGCCCGTTCTCTTTCTGGGCCGCTGGAGAGCCGCTGCCAGTCCGAGTAGACTGGCGAGCTGAGGGGGCTGAGGGTCTGCCTCTCCAGGGGAGCTTGCGGTATTCTAAGAACGGGTGAAGCGCTCACTCCAGGTGCAGAAGGTTCCACAGACGTCCCTCTCTTCACAGAATGCTGGGTCATGGGGCTGCGAAAGGATTCCTGCCCGGGGGAGCAGGGAGGCGGTTCCAGTCACGGGTCTGAGCTAGAAGGCAGCCTCTCTGTTTCTTCAGGGACAGAACTGCGGGTGTCCCCAAGTCGCGAATGGATGTCGCTTGACCAAAGATGGGGCGCGGCATAGGGTGCTTTTCCGCCTCATTGGCCTGCCTTTCAGGAGATCTGGAAATCATCTGATGCCGTGCAGGATATCCACACCCTGACATGCTTCTGCCAGTGCTTCTGGCCTCAGATGCTTCGTTTTTGTTTTTGTTTTAAAGTATAACGCTTCATATTAATTCTTAATTCTTCTCCCTCTTAAGCTGATCTCCTTCTGTTACAGCACAAAGCCAGGGCGAGAATCTCTGTAAGCCACTGAGGGAACATGTTGGCATCTGTTCAGTTATTTCTGAAGCAGCGGGTTATAATCATGACCACTTTCCCTACCCTTCCTACCTCCTGCCAGCAACACACGCACCTCTGTAGATGCTCAGCAGCTTGGGTGGGCACGTGCGCACCTGATCCAGCAGCGAGAACCTTTGTGCTGGAATCCTATGCAGCAGCAGTTCTGAGGTTTCCGTAGGCGCAAAGACCCATCCGTGAGCCTTCAAATGAACTGTGTCTTTTATTTTTCAGGTAGGCTATTTGAGGGCTGGACGTCGGGTTCCTGTGGTACATCCGCGGCAAAACTGTACCAGGCTTCACGATGTGTCGATTTGTGTTTAGCATGGTCTCACTAACGGACATCTTGTGTCTCTTCGAAACTTAGTGACAGCTAAATTTCTTTTTATATATATATATATATTAAAACAACACCAGAAACCTCCCCAGGAATTGCTGGGCTGGGGGAAGGAGTTGGTGTTTGTGGGGATGGTTGCTGTTTTGCACCTCCTCTTTGGAGAGGGTAATTGTCTTTGCTTTGTTGATCTCTGTTTAGATCTATATTTTAAGCTTAGACAGGGTGCCACTAGGAAAGCAAGAAACAAATTCTTTTCCTTTTGGAGCCTTTTTGGAACTGCTGCCTTCTCCCCCAGCTTAGTTTGTGGCTAATAGACTTAATTTTGAGATTTGAATAATCAGACCTTTTTTTTCCCCCCTATGAGAAGTCATTGTCGTACTTGGTATTTTCTTGAGGTTTGGCCCCTCCTGTAGAGTCCTTTCCTCCTTAAATTTTTATCAACCTGTGACTTTTGTTCTCTGGAGTTGTTTGACAAATTTCTTCCCCCTTCCTCCATAAAATAAAATATTTGTAACAGATGCCTGGTTTCTTTGTCTTGTATATCCTGGGCTTAAGAAGGAGGGCTTAGATGGGTTGTGAAGCCTCTGAAATCATGAGCATATGTTAAGGCACTTCATGAGTGTCACCCCCTCTCTCAGCTTTAAAAATCTCCCCTGCATAACGGGGGTGAAAGTTGTCTCCTTTTCACTTGAAAAGTTCTATGGGTTAATCTCGTCAGAGACGCAGGCAGTCCCCAAATTAATTAACATCTGCATTAAGAATAACCTGTACTTACAAACTGCCATAAACCCTGTAATTTTTTAAAATTCCTGCAGGAAATCATCACCATAGAGAAAGGAAGTGGAAAGAGAAGGAAGGCCTCCAAAACATTGTTGGAGAGAGAGAGAGAGAAGGGGTAGAGAGGGAAGCCTCTGCAGCAGGCCTTCCAGCCCTGCCAACTATACGTGATGCAGCTTGCATGAAAATGTGACCGAAAGACACATTTTTGTTTTCTCAGGAACGGAATTTGTTCGTAACCAACTTGAACCTAGGTTCAGTTGATGGCCAGCGTGTGTTTTAGTTCACAAAGTTAGGCTCACAGTTCAGAAATGCTACAGCTGTCATTAGTTGCTGAGTTGCAAAGCTGTGAATAGCCATCAGAACTAGTGGACACTGATAAGCTCCTTCTCTGTGAAATACCTGGTTTCTTTGTACCGCTATCGCCACTTGCGGCTGTGAGCCCCATATGTTAACTCACAAAGCAGTCCTTTTCTGTCCGTCTCTTTCCATTTAGTTTGTTTGGGTGACTGTGGGCTCATGGGAAGGAATCGCTCTCCCATCCATTTCCTCTGGGTCTCCCTTTGCAAGTCTGTCTTCTAAAAGTCTCTGCTCCTCCCCATCAAGTTACCAATTTCTAAACCTTTTCTAGTCCCACAGTATCCCTTTTCAGCATAAATAAGTATTTTTAGTATCGTTGCACCAGAGATGTGTATGTACAGGCCAACTTACTGGGAGAATTTGTTTTTTAAATTGGTTTCCTGATCACCTCTAGCAAGGATTCTGCCTTTTTCCTTTTTTACGGGCGCTGTATGCGGGCCATCCACATGCTTTCAGTTCAGGCCTCTTCACTGCAGAGGCGACATTAAAGAGCACTGACATTCTTGACCAGTCCTAGGATCTAAGAATGCAGAGAGTACCAGGCCTTTTCCATGCCAAACCTGAGCACTCATTTTTGAATTTGCTCAACCCTTGAGAAGCTGAAGTCTCCCCAGAGAGAGATGAGGCTGGGCTCGACTCTGCAGCGGATGAGCCTCAGCTGTACCCGAGCCCTTGTGTAAGGGGCTTTGTACAGCAACATGTTGCTTATCCCTGCAGGACCAAACAGCTGCCTGCCTGGGTATGTGTGCTTGACCTCAAGGAAAGTTTCTTTCCAGCTTCAAATATTGGAGGTTCTTGAGTCAGGCCTACATCTATATATTGCAGTGTCCCACCATAAGCTTAGACAAGGAACGGAGATGAGAAGTGAAGACCAAAGGAAATAGATCAGTAGACCTGATACAATCCAAAATCCAGATCTGCCATAGATACTAGTACCTCTACTTTAAACCAAGGGGGCTACGATTTTTTGTTAGTTTTAATTAAAGGATAGCAGAAGCAATATATTTGTGAGTAAGGCGAATCTCACAAGATCCTTTGCAACACGGAATGGCCCGGACGACCGACAGTTGCAGTCTTGCCAGTTGTCTGCGTATGCTACAGCCTCTGCACCCTTGGCCAGAGGCCTGCTGCTCCACAGGAAGTCCGTGCTCTTCAAACCTCAGCAAAAGCACCTTGAATTCCTCATGTTACAAGAACTGCCATTAAATCAACTGGTGCTGATGCCATGCCCCTCTGCCTTTGGGTTGGCTGAGAAGGAGCGCAGATTCAGGATCTGAGGAATGTCGTCATGAGTGCCATCCTGAAGAGCTGCTGAAGGGCAGTAAATGGGAGGGAGTTTCTTTCTCTGGCCCCCTGTGCAGATGTCTTTCCTTAAGGCGCTCGCCCGGCGCTCCTGTTGCAGCCAGTACAGCATCTCCACTGTATCCCAGTCCATCTTCTCCAAGTATGGGCGTCCACGGAACCGGACCGTGTCATTGAACGTCTCTTTGATGTAGTTCAGGATCACAGAAAGCTCAGAGTTGTACTGGGCCAGCTCGGAGTGCAGGCGGCTTCTGGTTTTGGCTTCCTGCTTTCTCAACATGAAAAACTCGGGGTCCCTGTCAAACAAGCGGTTTGGATCTGAAGCCGTTTGCTCAAACTGTTCCAGCTCAGCCAGCAGGAGCTCCCGGTCCTGGATCAATCGGGCTGCCTCCTCCCAAGCCTCAAGAATATCTGGGAGCAGCAAATAGTACTGACTGGAGCTGTACTTGATTGCCATATCCAGCCTTTCTCCTTCTGAATAGTGGAGAACAGTCCACAGCCTCTCCAGCCTTCTCTGCATGGCACTGAGATCCTCGGCCGTGTGGTCAAACAAAAGGAAGGTTCCCAGGCCTCCCTTCATGACACTGTCGGTATTCCACTTCCCGGTGTGGAACTCTTCCTTGGTGGCTTGAAGCTCCGTGGCCTGCCTGATGGCTTCCTTCTTCTCCTCTTCCTGCTTCTTGAGTTCCTGCTTGTCTAAGACGGGCTGCCCCTCTTCCTCCTCTTCCCCAAAGTCATACAAATGAAATATTACCGGTAAATAATCAGATTCCTTGGTGCCCAGGTATTTCAGATAATTGTCAGTATTGAACGATGCTTTCCACCACCTAAGCCAAGAGGCAAATTCCTTTTTAGCTCTCCTCTTCTTGAAGGGTAGGTTGGGGGTCTGTGGTGTGTCTATCACTTCCTCGAAGCTGTAGGGTCCAGTGGGTAGGATTTTGTTCAGCTCTTCGTTAATCACCCGCTCGCTTTTTTTTCTGGTCAGCGTTGAAGAAGCAAAGCATGCAGACAGATCTAGGTTAGTTGCAGAGGGTTCTGTTAAGGGTCCCAGGTCGAACTTCAGGTGGTCTTTCGGGATGGTATTCATCAGTTCCTTGTACATCTCCCTGACCTCTTCCCCCGTGGAAAGATTGGCATCTAGGGATTTCATGGTGGCAGTGCTTATCTCCCCCAAGAGATGGTTGTAAATCGGTGGGTATGTCTGCATGGCAACCTCTTCAATGTAGATTCTTTCGGACACCTGCAAATCCCCTACCTTCACAACCATCTTATCATGGACTGTGACATTTACTGTTGCAGCCTGAGGGTGGGAAGCGGGGGCAGCAACAATGGTGTTTCTCCGCTGCCTCTCATAAAATTCCTCCCTGTGCAGGGAGTTAAGCATTCTCTGGAGCTGCTCTTGGCGGACCTCGTTAGCCTTGCGCCAGGTCAAGGCTTTAATGAGGGGAGGGAGCTCCAAACTCTCGTCCTGCTCAGCTTCCCACTGGGTGCTCTTCACAACAGAGCCCTGCACCAGCCTTCGAAGGTCCTCAGCCAGGCTCACTAGCCCTTTCACTTCCCCATCTTCAGTGGTGTCCTTGAAGTGACATGGCAGATCAGGGCTGAGTCGGCGGGGTGGCAAATGGATTCCCAGCTCGTCGGCTAGGAGCCGCCCAACTCTCATATTGGGCAGTGACTGGCTCCTCTTGAAAAAGGTGGAAGAAGCCGACTTTGCCTGTTGTGGCTTAGTCTTCTCTTTAGAGCCAGCAGTAAGCGGACAAGGTGTTGTGACTGCGGCACAGGGCATCTGTCCCAAGAAAGTACTCTTCCGCACCGTGGGTAGATTTAGCTGTTTAATTTTCTTCATGTCTAACAAGGGGAGCTCCTCGAGCTCTTTGATGTCCCTGGCTATCTTCTGTTTCAGCGTTGGCACGTGAGGTCTGCTAAGACGGATAAAGTAGTTGATGCTGAAACCCAGGCGGCACCCAAGGTTGTGCGCGGACCTCTGCCCTGGCAGGCTCAGCGGTTTTGTGGGGGACTCGGGCTGACGGTTCTGCAGCGTCTTCATCTCCATGATGAGGCGGTGTCGGACAGCGGCCACATTGAGGAAGCTGGAGCACTCCAGGGAGAGCTGGGCGGAAAAGCGGGTGAGGTTGGCGCAGTCCGTGTAGACGGACAGCGTGCGGTGGTGCTCGATGAGGCGCAAGTAGTGGAGGAAGAGGTGCTGGCACACCAGGCCGATGTAGACGATCAGGCGCTGGTAGAGCTCGCGGTTGGTCTGGGCGCCGAAGGCCGGGTCGGGCAGCGAGCGCTGGACGTCCTTGAAGACGCGCCGGACCTCGGTCAGGATGATCTCGCGGAAGAGGCGCTGCTGCTGCTGCTCGGGGGGCCCGGGGCCCAGCTGCATGCGCGCTTTCACCATCTGCAGCAGGGCCGTGAGGGACATGGGCACGGGCACCGGCTTCTGGGCCGAGGCGGCGGCGGAGCCGGCCCGCTCGGGGAGCGAGGCCCGCACCCGGCTGTGCGCGGCGGGAAAGAGGGACAGCGGCGCCAGGATGCGCTGGTACAGCTCGTGCAGCTGCTGGGCGGGCCCGTCCATCTCCGCCAGGGCGTACAGCTCGCTCCGGCAGGGCGAGGCCATAGCGGCAGCGGCGGCCCGCCTCGCCCGCCCCGCAGGCGGCACCGGGAGCCCGCCGCGGCGTTGCTAGGCAGCGGGCGGCGCCTCCTGCGCCTGCGCTCCTGGCCCCGCCCTGCCGGAGCGAGCCGTACGCCCTGGCGGAGATGGACGGGCCCGCCCCGCAGCTGCAC